TTTTTAAAAAATCTAAAAATGAAAAAAATTTGATTCGTAGTCGGTAAGTTACTCCGTATTGAGTGGGCTGAGTTAGGCCCAAACTTTAGGTGGCAATTTCGGCCCGGTTAACTGGGCCTCTCCTTTTCTACTGCAGTAAGTCCACTTTTGACTCCCCTAACCAGTGGCCGAATCTGATTCGTATCCTTAAACTGTAATACCGGTTATCTCGACCCTAACTATTAAAATCGGTGTAATTTTAACTCTTTCGGCGGTTTCACTGACGTGGCTCATACGTGGTGGTGTTGACCTGGTATTCGTCCAACGTGGTGCTTACGTGGTATTAGAATAAAAAAAATATGTGGAACACATTTGTCATTCACGAAAAAATATTGTGGGACCTACTGACATATGGGGCCTACATATCTTACCATCCTTCCCTTCTCTCTACCCCATGTTTTCTCCACAGTACAGCAGTTGGGGAGGTGGGCGGTGGCGGCAGGGGAGGAGCGAGCCGGGCGCTGCGATGGTGCCCACCTCCTGCACATTGCACAGTGGGGCGCTAGCAGGTGGGACAATTCCGGTGGTAGAGATGGAGATGGCTCAACAGGAGGCGTCGGAGGAGATGGGGAGAGCCACCGCTCCTCGTCCCCGCTCCGTGTCATGGGTGGCACTGCAGGCCATGGCCGCAGCGGCAACGGTGAGGTGGGCAGTGGCCGCGGCCGGAAGGGAGCAAGATGGGAAAGAGAGAGGTGTGAGCCGGGCGCCACGAAAAGATTGCCTAGGAGGAGCCGCGGTTGGGCAACCCCGATGCATGGTGGCGAACCGGCCTCGAGCGGAGCCGCAGCGACCTGCCATGAGGCGGAGCGATGGCGCCTCCTGTTAGCGAAGAAAGGAGTGAGAGAGAGAAGAAAGAAAAGGAAAAAAAAAAAGGAGGAATCACTGCCATGTGGGTTCCACACGTGGAGTTAGTCTGTCAAACTAAGTCAAAGCGCCGCATCAGCGAAACCACTCTACAAAACTACTTAGGGAGTTAAATTGCTCTAGTTTTAATAGTTGGAGAGTCGAGATATCTAATAGATATGAATCATATTGAAGCTATAGTTGTCGGAGTCAAAGTGAACTTATTCATTTTTGCTCGTTGCGGGCGTGATCTATGCCATGCCAGGTTGCAAAGCGGATGGATCGTTTTTTTTTTTGTTTTATAAGGCTGTGTTTGTTATGTATGGTTGGAAATTTTTTTCTCCCCACAAAGCTTATTAGCACATAATTAATTAAGTATTAGTTTTAAAAAACTTGAAAAATAGATTAATATGATTTTTTAAAGCAGCTTTCATATATAAATTTTTTACAAAACACGTACTCCCTCCGTCCTAAAAAAACAAACTCTGGTTTCCGTGTCCAACGTTTGACTGTCTGTCTTATTTGAAAAAATTATGAAAAAAATTAAAAAGATAAGTCACGCATAAAGTATTAATTATGTTTTATCATCTAACAACAATGAAAATACTAATTATAAAAAAATTTCATATAAAACGGACAGTCAAACATTGGCACGGGAACCCACGGTTTATCTTTTTGTTTTTTTGGGACGGAGGGAGTATCATTTAGTAGTTTGAAAAACGTGCACCTAAAAAATAATAAGGAAAGGAAGTTGGAACATAACACATATGGCAAAGAATACAGCCTAGTCTGATTGACTTTCCAACCGAATCAACCCCTCTGACTAACTCCAGTTAGTCCGATCTCCGATGCATGTGCTGAAGCTGGAGAACAAACAGAGGCGTGCTGAGCTAAAGAAAAAAACAGAGGCAGTGGACGGTATTGGAGCTGATCCAGGTGTTGGCAGAAAATCGACCATCGGCTTGTGGAAACCCGGCTGGTATTAATTGGTTTTTGTACGGTATTGACAGAAAATTATTGGTTTATTTTCAGTAAATCGGCGGGGAATGGTTTTTACCTAGAAAACAAAAAAGGTAAACCCTAAAGCCAATACACCTCACTTTTCTTCGTATCTCTCTTCCACATAATAAGTTTAGCCCATTATTATTCTTGCTCTTAATATAGTGAAATGGAGGGAGTAGTAGGGGAGTTTGGGTGAGAAATAAAATTTAAGTGATGATGTACATCCCATATTTATCCCGATGTGCTTAAGAATGAATTTTCTCTCAATTACCTATCCTACTCAGATATTGAAAAAGTGGATTGTTCTTAAATTCCCCTTTCTAGTCTCTCATAAAAACTCGCACGTCCACCATCCAAACAACATACTTAAAAACCATGCTCCTCAAAACTCTCATTCCCTGGAAACGATTCCCCCAAACCAAACGAGTTGCGAGTTGTCAGGTCTGAACCCTGTGGGTTGAAGCTGGGAAAATAGCTAGAGGCTAGTGAAGGAAGGAATCTTGTATGCAATCTTTCATTGAATCTTCATGTCAATGAGACTTGATGAGCAAATTTGATTTCTCAACGGAGATCAAACTTAACCGACGTAACCCTGCTCGAAAACAAGAACCCATTGAAAGATTGGCGATGTACCAAAATATAATTGTATTGATATATAGATATATTATAAAGATCACAGGCATATATATTTATACCCTCGGGTTAGGACAAGACCAAATCAGATACGATATAAGATTTCCTAATAAGAAAAGGGAAATAACTAATCCTACCTATTTAAAAAGATATATCAAACATATGAAACTATCTTGCCATGATCTTCACGATTCCTCCTTAAAATTAGCTTTATCTATATATATGTCCATCTACCAATCGATTTCTTTTCCTTAACTGAATCCACTAAAGAATCGTACCAAATTTTGGCATTAACACTAGCCTATACTGCCACCATCTTTATCTTCCGTTACCGGACCTGACCACGCTCACCCCTATCTCCTGAGCTCCATCGGTCTCCTCAAGCGTACATGACTAAGTGACAACCACTAGTCTGAAGATCCCCCGCGACTCCTCTCGATGGTGAGCGGCAGTGATGGCTCCTCCTTTGTGATGGCTACCCCACGGATCCTCCTACACGTTGATAGTTAGCAGGTCTCAAACTCCTCTAAAAATAGATCCGTCTAGCGCTACTTCTCCTTATCGGCACCACTTCTTATTTATCTCATGGCTAACCGTCCTCGGATAAGGAGGAGAAGTGGTGCTGGGAGGGAGGAGGGACGACCACGAGAAAAGATAAAAGACATAGGGAGATGGAGTGGGAGCGAAGGAGGAGCAAGGGAAAGTGCTGGCTTCTCTTAGACCGTTAGACGTCGACCGTTGGGAGAGAACTACGCGTCGGACGTCCGATGTTTTAGGGAAAAATCGGACGCTGACGTCAGCATGACGTCAGCGTCCGATTTACGTGCAAAACTACTTTTAAATTGATTTTTCTCTTAAATTTCTTATCCAAATCATGATTCGATTACACCATTAAATTCTTTGTAATTAAATCTTCAAAACAAGACCACACATGGATATATTCCGGTGAAAAAAATAGCTTATTATTGAATTATTTTTAAATGTTGCACGATGTTCCACCAGGTATATCAGAATTGTTTCACTAAGTAGATCAAAAATATTTCACTCGTTTTAATCTGGTGTTGTTTCACCTTATTTAAAAACAATGTTTCAGCAAATAGCGAAATAATGTTTCAGTTCACTGCAACATTAGATCTATACATAGTGAAACATTATAAGTACACTAGGTGGAACATTTTTTGGTGAAACAAAAAAATGAAACGAATTCTCTTAATAGGAGGTTTCCAAAATATGTGGGTTTTTTGTTGCAATGAAATATTTCAGTTCACTACAACATTAGATCTATACATAGTGGAATATTGTGAGTGCACTAGGTGAAACATTTTTTGCGGAACAAAAAATAAACCAAATTCCCTTAATAGAGGGTTTCCAAAATATGTGGGTGATTTATTGCAACGGCGTGTTCCACTGCAACATTTGATCCATACACAGTGAAACATCATGAGTACACTAGCTGAAACATTGTAAAACTACTGGTTGAAACATCAAAAGAGACCGCATGCAACATTAAAAAAATCAATAAAAAATTAAAATATATTTTTGAAATATAATCATGTGTGGTCTTGTTGTAAAGATTTAATTGTAACGAATTTAGTGGTGCAATCAGATCGTAGATTAGATAAATAGTTTACGATAAAAAATCTTTTGAAGAAATAAGAAAAGAAAAGATTCTTTACATGCTGCAGCTGCAGTGGCACAGCGTCCGATTTTTCTCCACCCCGCCGGTCGTTCGGGTGTGAGCATTTTCCCGAGCGTTGCTGGTGGACACGCTTGTCCACTCTATCCTTTATCTCACATGAGCAACATAAGCAAGTGAAGAGACATGGATAAAAAGAGATGTCACGTTTACTAGGATTATTCACGTGATTAATTGGATGTATGTCATTGCAAAATCAATTTTCCCGATGAAGGGTAACATTACCAGCGCACTCTCTCTATCTAGAAAAATAAACATAAAATTAGATAACTGGATATAATATATTTTAATACAACCATCAATTCTAGATTTGTTTTTTTTTGCGAGGAGAGTAGATAATAATAACCTTAGGGGGTGTTTAGATGGGACTAAAACTTTTTAGCCCATGTAACATCGGATATTTAGACGCTAATTTGGAATATTAAACATAGACTAATAAAAAAACTAATTTTATAAATGAGAGCTAATCCGCGAGACGAATTTTTTAAACCTAATTAATCTATAATTATCAAAAGTTTACTGTAGCATCACATTGTCAAAATCATGGTGTAATTAGATTCAAAATATTCGTCTCGCGAATTAGTCCAATGTTATGGAATGGGTTTTGTAATTAGTGTTTAATACTTTAAATTTAATATCCAAACATCCGATATAATATGATATGTACTTGAAATAAGTCCCTCAAGGCAGGTGAACGGGCTGTAAATTATAGCTAAAATTCATTTAAAAATTGAATCCGCAAAGAACAGAAAAAACAAAGCCAGGGGTAGAAATCGGAAACGACCCACGGTTTCCAAATTCCAGCAGTCTCTCTTCCCATCTCATCTTGCTTCCCCTCCCCTCCTCACTACCATCTACTCCCATCCCATCCGCCGCCAATCCGCCGCTGCAGCCGGCACCGGCCTTCTTCCACGCCGGCGGCCGGCACCCGGCAGGCAGAGCCTACACACCAGGCCGCCCTCCTCCTCCTCCTCCCCGGCCGCCGGTACCTGAGGGGAAGAAGCTTCGCAGCTCGGGCTCTCACGCCCTGAGGCGTCCGGAGTTCGATGTCCGTTTGCATCTCATGGATCCGCATCACCTGAACCGCCCCACCGCCGATGACGCTGCCGCCGCCGACGACGACTGGGGTAACGCGCCCCCAAAACACACTCTCCCCTCCCCGAGTCCCCGTCACCCGCGGCGGCCATCTCTCTCTCGTTCTTTCTCCCTGTTGTTTAAACCTTTATCTAGGCTTGTAATCTTGATGCGCGGGTGTTTTAGGGATGTGGAAGAACTAGAGGTGTGATTTAGTCTGTGCTGTGTTTGTGGTGCCATGGGGCTCAATCAAATCAGACAGCCATAACTAGTAATTACCAATTAGAGATGGCGAGATTTGGTTAACAGTTTTAGCTTCAACGACTAGATATGCAAGTACCCGTAGGTGATTGTAGGTAATTATTACTAATTGTTCATAGTGCCGATAAGGAATTACTCCTATTTAAACTTAATTGTAGGTAATGCAGTGGCTCTGTTGAGTTACGAATAGCTGTTTAATAGAACCTAAATTATGAATAGCTGTTTAATAGAATCTAAATTGCGACTACAATGATAAACGGGTGAAAAAGGTTTGGGAGCTTTTTTTAGTCATCTGCTATACCTCTATTTTTTACTTCGCAGTCTATAATCTGAGCTGTCAGCCATTCTAGTTACAGACATGTTTAAAGTTATTTAGATTTGTTGTATGAGATTTGTATCACTTAATTTGTTGTCAAAGTACTTTTCATGATTATACCTTGATATATACCCACTCTAAGTAATCTTGAAGACCATGATAGGTCAGAAAGGTCAACAAAAAAAAGAGTTAGCAGTAAAGAACTATGATGCTTTATCATCAACTCATTCTTTAGTCCTGTTTTGGATAGGGGGATTTGGATTCAAATTTGAACTAACTCTAAAGAAAAACCCTCTCACCCATACAGTCCATTAGGATAATTTAGACTTATTGGTAACAATAAAATTGATGTTTCAGCTAATTCTTTGTTGATGTTCTGTTCTCTGTTTTTTATAGCCATTGCAGACAGTACGGAATCTTACATAGGCTTGATTTTCGCAAAGAAAAAAACTACACTAATGTTGGTGACCTTTAATTTATAGCTGCCTTTGTTGTGATTCCATTGAGCATTTTTTTCTCACTACCTCTTGCGTGATAGTTTTTTCAATAACTTGATCTAAAACTATGAATTTTTCATTTTATTCTTAAACTGCAATTAATCTGCATATGTATTATTTTTTTATCATTTTCATCTCTCATCTCATCCCCATCTAATATCAATAGAATCCAACTTTCTGTCTATCCATCGAACTGTTTCTTCTCCATGTCATTGCTCATTTACCTGCTCATTATTCAGTGCCAATCTGCTCCATCTCTCTCCTTCCTGTCACTATTGTGCCTTACAGATTCATGTGAGGAAACTACACTAATGTAGTGGAAAAACCAAAGACCTAAACAAACTGATGGCATGAATTTTAAAAAAGAAACTAATTCATATCATAGTAGACAAATAGTTCTACATTGGAAAGACTATTTCTCTTAGGAAAAAGGCAACTCATGAGGTGGTAGGGGGATGACAGACTCACCGCCACCACCACTAGGTCCTTTTTATATACTGTAGTGGAGATAAATTTAACTGAACCTCGGTAAGAAAAAAAACATTCAGTGATGTCTGAGTCAAAAGAAAATATTGGTGTGGCATCTCTAGTTACTATGTGACAAAGTTTGGAGTATAGTTATCACTGAAATTGCTAGTTGTAGTTCTTTATCAAAATCATAGCTCCACGAACAGAAAAAATCAAGCATGGTCTTCCAATTGTGCCAGACTTTGTATCTTCTAGTTTCTCTCCAAACCAGGTTCATCAAATAATTACTCAGACCAAAGAGTGACGTATGCTCTATCAATCCATGTTGCTGGGGACACAGGTCAAAGATCTCTTGTAAAGAACTAAAAATGGTTTCATGTGTCTTGAGTGGTTTCGTTTGATAAGTTTTGCAGGTTTTACCTTGAAAATGGTTGAGCTGCACATCTGAAACCTAAATTTTTGGGTTACATTATAAATTATAAAAATGTTAATGCTGCTTTTGATATTTGATGCAGTAGAAACCACACCAGCTAGTCAGTCATGATTAAGAAAGAATGACAAGAGCAATGATGACTAGATGAATTGCCCAGGAATAATAAATGGTGTAATATATGATATTCATTATTGCAGTTTCATATCTAGGATAGGGGAACTGAAATTTATGTTAGTGAGCTCAATAGTTAAGCTATGGTCATGACGGCATGTATACAGATGTCAGGTGAGGACTCCTTTATCGTCGGCACCAGAACAAATGTGGCAACAATGACGCAGCACAAATTCAGGATTAGATTGAGTTAGTTTTATCTTTCTGGGCTTGTTAGTTTTCAGTTGAGAATAATGTGGCTGGCAACAGCATTGTATAAGCTGAAGATCGGCCTATTTTGCTTAGCTTGGAGATTAGGTTATGCTGAGCTTGCGTCCTGCCTCTTCCACGCAGTGCCTATGATGGCTCCGCCACGCCATCGAGGTCCAGGGCCACATCTTGTAACCAGCTTCAAATATAGTTTATGTTGCGTTTCCTCATCTATTATACTAGCCCGTGACAATAGAAGCCATAATGAGGCACATTAGAAAGGACTAAACTATACATTACTTGAATGGTATGGCACAGTGGCACAGATTCCAAGTTTCTAGCCAAGAAGTAACAAGTAATACAAGGAACTGTATGTCAACTCATCCAAAGATTCCTTGATGTGGACTGACATAATGTTGGACAAACACAACTAATCCATCTCATTGTCCTAGGCTATAGCCAATGGCACGTTTTAAAGTCACCAACATAAACACATTTGAAATTGCTCTTACAATATTTATTATGCCGTTTCAATTGTACCTAAATGCCCTTTTAGACATCAGATCTCACAGGAACAATAGTTAGATATTCCCATGAAAAGTAGAGTTAGATAATATTTTGCGGCTTTGCAAAGATAATTGATAGGCAAGATGATGAAGCAGTGTAGCATTTGACTAAATGTGGAAATATGGGCTGCATCTCTAATTTCTATGCCTCCTACCCTGAAGCTGTTCTTTCCACTCCCAAGATTCTGCTTGCTAGATCTTGTTACTAGTTGCATTTGTTTTCTTAGTTCTCTTATCAGTTAGGTGATTTCTTTAGGCTGATTTGGTTGCTCAAGTTCATCTGTCTTTGGATTTGTCTGCACCCCTTCGTTTCCAGGCTTCTTTACGTTTTCTTTGTCAATTGCTCCTGACATTATTATACTTTCATTTGGAGGATCAATCACCAGTTCAGTATTGAGGAAAATGTTCTTACATGTGCGTAATGTCACAGATAATGATGGCTTTGTGATACCAAGCTTGAGTGTTGAAGAATCTGATCTTGGTGATTGGGAAGCTGCACAGGTTTCTCGTCCTCAACCACCTCCAAAGGTCTCTTTCACATCACACTATTCTTTTGTTTATCCCTTTACCAAAGCAAAATAGCAAACACAGGCTTATCTTTATTTCCTTGCGCCTTGAACAAGGTTTAACCACACTGTACAGTGACAAACAGACTGTGCCATGCTTTAGGAAACATACCTGCCCCAACAGAAAGTAGAGTTGGATGCAATAAGACCACTATACTTTATAGAGCAGCTTCAAAGCTAAACTCTGGCCATCACTCGTACATAATCACCATGTATTTGTCTTTACTTTCCCCCAACTTTAGATACGATAATCTTTTTTTCCCCCTACAGGCTACCAAGGATACCGAGAAGATATATCTTGGACCGCACGGCGCACCGCCATCTCGAGCAAAGAAGCAAGAGGACACTGCAGCAGCTGCCACTGGGTACCGCGACAAGAGCAAGGTGAAGGAAGCTGATCAAAAGGTGCTTGGAACTGGCCGGGACAACAAAGGGGGCAATAACTTCAACCGCTACAACAATGCTGGCCACCATGTCAAGGAACCCTACAAGAGATCCACTTGACCTTCTCCTCTCCACTGAGGCTTGCTCCCTGTGAAACTTTTCTCTCTCCTATATCAACACAGCTTGACGAAGCCAAATTTACGCGATTTGTCGGTGTGATGGATATCATTGCTGGAATTAGGACAACCTATCTTGCAGCGGCATGTATACCTGAACTGTGGCCATGTACGTACCGTCTGTTTGCTACTCTGGGCTGGAGCAATGCGTTTGCTGATTTTCTTTCGAATGGAAAAATATGTGTTGTTCCGGATGTCGCCGACACTACAGGTATCTGGAGCATTACAAAGCAGATCCATGTCTATTCCGTTTGTCATTGCCATGATTAATGTGCCTAATACATCATCGTCGTCATCTCTAGCATTGTCACATCTCACTTGTTATTTTTTTGGTGCTCTTTAATTTTGGCGATGATTATGGGTTGCCATGGACCGCAACGCACGGATGGATGGTTGTATTCTTCAACGTCATCGCGAAGGAATCGAAATCAAAGGACAAGCAACGATTGGAACGTAAAGCTGTTTCAAGATTACGCTACGTGCGTTCTGCTCGTTGATGCTAATTAAAGTTCCCACATGAATGTTGAGGTTTTGCTTCTCTCGATTGGCTGACAACAAATTAAGGCTTGCCCTCCCAAAGGATGAGAGACGACTAGATTTGTAAATTTTCAAAAAAAAATATTTTTTAAATATTTTAATAAAAATGTATAAATAAAAAAATTCTGGTGCTGCATCCATCGCCTTGGAGCGTGGGTCACACACTAATTTAGTCGCTGGCTCACACACTCTCTCTCTACTAATTTTTTTTACCAACTCAGCATATTCGGCAGCATGAATGTAGTATCGTCTGCTAAAACGTTTTATTGTACTCGTAAACAAATATATTTGCTATGTGAAAGCTAATCCGCTGTTACCCCACTATTGAAGCACATTAGAGGTGATTAATTAAGCCCCAAGCACAGCTGCTACAATCATGTTAGAAGCTGTAACCTTTGCTGCTTTGCATAGGTGTGATAGCATCAGAGATGGGTGTACATACTACACCATACAAAAGCAGCGGTCGTTGAGCAACGCACAAGACGTGTTGGATCGCTCGCTTGTAAGCAAAGGTTTTTGGGTACTATACACAGTCCAGCTACATGCATAGGTTTGTTGGCTGCTGCTACAAGTGCGAGATTCGTACAGTTTGGTTGAAGCTTTTCATCATGCAGGCTGTTGATGGTCTGGTGCTTTTGTGTGGTACACACACGCAGAAATTTCACTCCAATTTTGTGGCAATTTTTGAAAACCATTTAAACTTGCTCTCAAATTTTAAAAAGTTCCTAGCTTTTTCAAAGGAGAGGCCGCATCAACGGTAAAATTTGCAGAATTCATGTATGTCTTCATCCGAGAGCGAAACGGCACCGGCACATCAAATCGATGCTACGTCAGGCTTTGACACTAACAATAGCTAGCTAGTAGTAGAACAAATGCACCGATCTGTAATTATGTACTCCTGCATAAATATGCACTAGGCATAGAGCAAAGTTAATTAATTAATCGTAACGACAAAGATAGATTGGTATGTTAGGCTTAAAGATAATAATTAGTGCCCAACAACCCAACAACACACACCCCCAGACCGCTCCCCATGAAAGCTGCATGCCTACTGGCTCCTGCACCACTCCAATCTTTAATTAATACTCCTCCGTCTCAAAATAAGTGCAGTTTTATATTATTTATATTCAACGTTTGACCGTTCGTCTTATTTGAAATTTTTTTATAATTAGTATTTTTATTGCTATTAGATGATAAAACATGAATAATACTTTATGTGTGACTAAATATTTTAAATTTTTCATAAATTTTTCAAATAAGACGGACGGTCAAAGGTTGGGCACGGATATCTACGGCTGCGCTTATTTTGGGACGGAGGTAGTACTTACTATCATGGAACCAATTTTCTCTTAAATAATTCTCCCATTCTTTTTCGTAATTTTATTCTTCTATTGATGTTCTGGTGGTTATCTTCCTAATCCTACTAGCTACTAGCATCCACTCCACAGGTCAACACTAGTAGTAGAATTGGTCCATTGACGTCAGTGCCCACTACAAAGATTTTGGAGTAGTGCTTATCATAATTTAATTTGTCAGCTTGATGGGTTGCTCAATGGCAGTTACTTTAATTCAGGGTGGCAGATGAACAGATGATTGCGTGTACATGCTTTTCCTGTATCTCGGCATTTTTGTCTCCATAACCCGCGTTTGATCCAATCTTATCTTATTCGATTATGTCTAATTAAGGGTTCAACCAATTATGCTCTGATCATTTCATCAACGGTTGATATAGCCGTGGGAAAAAGGAATTATGCAACCATTAATAGTAAAACTTTAATTTATATATGTTCTAGTTGTTTAAAAGTTGAAAAATAAACAGAAACCTTAAAATTAACTCTAAAATCAAGCTCTATAATTTAAATTTTATTTTCAAGATTTTCATTAGCATGTTTTTTTAAACTGTTAAACGGTATATTTCGTGCGAAAACCTTCTATAGAAGTTGCTTAAAAAATTAAACAAATACATTTTTTAATTCTTTATAATGGAGTCATATTAAATTTATCATATATTTCTCATTTCATGTGTGGCTATTGGCTAATTAGCCATTTCCCGCCTCTGTTTAGAACGAGCTCTTGTATTGAAGCCTACATGGATAACTTACGGTACATCCTAGCCATGGGGACATATTAATTTCGGCATCGTACGGTGGATATACAACATATATACTTCCTCCGTTTTCCGTTTCATATTACAAGACTTTCAATTATTATCCACATTTATATAGATGTTAATGAATCTAGACACACATATATGTCTATGATTCGTTACCATATACTCTATCCGTTTCTAAATATTTGACGCCGTTGACTTTTTTAAATATGTTTAACCGTTCGTCTTATTTAAAAAATTTATGTAATTATTAATTCTTTTCCTATCATTTAATTTATTGTTAAATATATTTATATGTATACATATAAAAGTCTTTAAATAAGACAGACGGTTAAACATGTGCTAAAAAATTAACAGTGTCAAATATTTAGAAACGGAAGGAGTATATAAATGTGGACAATGCTAGAAAGTTTTATAACCTGAAACGGAGGCAGTAGTTCGAATTGTGTCTGATCGTTCAAAAGAAAAAAAAAACACCCAAAAGAGCCGTAGCCGACATGTATAAAGCTCCGGCTCGTACTACGTACGTACACGCAGCTGGTTGTATGTAACGGGCGAGACGAAGGCGATGGCCTATCTTGATCTGTCTCCGTGTACACGTGGCCTCTGAAATTTACGCTTTATAGGGTGGTTTAGCGTAAACTAATCATGCGCAATGATGCGTGCAGCTGCGCGGCCGCGTGCATCCGCTGCGCTGTGCTGCCATTTCTCTTCAGCTTAAAAAGCGAGCCCTACCATTTCCTCTCTCTCTTCTTGTCATCCTCCTCATCTCTTCTTCCTCCCTCGTCTCACCAACAGCGAGGTGACTGAGAGAAGCTAGCTTGGGAGAATAATCCATGGCAGGCAAGGTAGGTACCTGCAAGTTAACTCCCTGATGTATATTATTATGAGTTGGTGGTTGCCTTCCTCTTGTGGATTTCTTGATTTAATTTGCTGCAAATTTGCACTGTCGTCTATCGATCGATCGGTTTGTGCGTTCCAAATTCAGCTCTGCAATGGCGGCTCTGTGTGCCAGTAGTACTTGCCCAGTTCATCTTCTTGTTCTTCCATGGATAGATGATATACAGTAGCATACTTACAGCTGAGGCAGAGTGAAGACGTACAACCTCTCGTCCAATATATAATTAATTAAATCTCTTGTGTGTTTTGTATTTCGATTCGATCGACTCATCTTGGTTGGGAATTCCGGCAGTTATCAACTTCTGATTCCACAACTAGAGTATCAGGTTCAGTTTGAAGTACTGTATGTATGACCGTGTGAGTGCTTTTTTGTCGGGACAGCTTAAAGGATAATGGCAAGTGAAGTAGAGAGCAAGCAAACCGACACTTTTTTTTCTTTCTTTCTCCCTCTGTTTGTGCTGCGCTTTAAAGATAAATTGACCAACAACCTAACTGCACATCAGGGGAATGGATATGTGTGGCTCGTGCAATGCAAATCAGCTGTAATCCTCAATCAGTTTTGAGTTAGCTATAGCTAGGATTAATGCTCACTGATGTAGTGATGTCTACTCCTCTGCTTCTATAACCTTCAAAGAAAGGGAAAAAGAAACTCCTCTGCTTTTCTAACCTTCCAAAAAAAAATTCTTCTACTTATCTTAAAGAATAGTAGTACCATCATAGAACTCTATACTTTCAGACAGGTTAAAAGGGCTAATTAAATTGTATCTTAGTTAGCATTGCCTACTGTTGTTCTCTACTTCTCATTGGACATGATGGTCTAGTGTTCTTGTTACAGTGATTAATCACCCACATATGTTTGTGTCGTCATACTAACAAGTTGTATCTCTGCTTTGTTGATCTCACCTCAGATGTCTACAATTGTGATGATGGTGGATCTTGAATGTGACAGATGCTACAGGAAGATCAGAAGGGTCCTCTGCAAGCTCCAAGGTTAGTTCCCAAATTAATCACACTGTAATTTCTTGATCCATGAACTGGCCTAATTAATCACTGTGTGTATGTAGATAAGGCGAGCATCAAGGCCATCTCGTACGACGAGAAGAACAACACGGTGACGGTGGCGGGGCCGTTCGACGCCGACGAGGTCTCGGACAGGCTCTGCTCCAGCGCCGGCAAGGTCATCACCGACATTCGCGTCGTCGGTGGTGCCAAACCCATGCCAGGCGGCGGCGGCGGTGGCGCCAAGGCGCACGCCAACAAGCCGGCCGGGAAGGACGGCAGCGCAGGCGGCGGCGGCGGCGGCGGCGGAGGAAAGCCGGAGATGATCAAGAAGCACGTCAAGTTCGAGATGGCGGACGACATGGACGACGGCCGCCACCACCACCACCACGACAACAGGAAGCCGAAGGTGGTGACGACCACCAACCACGCCGCCGGCGCCCTCGCGCGGATGGAGGGCCGCCGCGCCGAGGCGCCGAGCATGGCCATGGCGGCGGCGATGGCGCCGGCGCCCATGCCGATGACGGTGCAGGCGACGGCCACGCCGTCCATCTGGCCGGCACCGGCGCCATCGGCGCCGGCGCCGCTGGAGTGGGGGCACAGCGCCCCGACGTACGGGGCGGGGTGGGCCCCGCCGCCGGCAGGCGGCTACTACGGCGGCGGCGGCGGGCCCATGTACTACGGGCAGCCGCCGCCGCCGCCGGCGTACGGGTACGGCGGCCGGAGCCCGTACCAGCCGCCGTACTACGACGAGGAGCCGGCCGGCTGCAGCGTCATGTGACGTGACGAACCAAAACCGATGAGGCCACGAGTCTTCTTGTGTGAAAAAGGAAAAAAAAGGAAAAAAATTTATGTGTATGCATGATCGGTTCGTTTATATCATCATGTGTAAATTTGAACAAGAGAATGCTAGCTGAGTACCATGTGTGTAGAGTTACTGTGTAATGTAATGTTTTCAACTTGGTGTATTTATGATGATGAAAACAAGTATGCAATCAGGGTTTCTTTTAATTTAAAGCTGTATCAGATTTTGACTTTGTACAATGTTTTATTTAAAAGAGTGTTCTTTTGTGCTAATGAAACGGAATGCTGATTGTATGAAGTATTTGTGAGAATTATTCAAGGGCACAAACCAATCGATGGACTATTAAAAAGTTAAAATGGATTTAAAGCATTATCTAGTTAATAAGAAAAGATTTTGTAAAAATCGCAAATTAATAACAAACACGCCGCCATGCCACTTTCCTAGAACAAATAAAAATTTTTACAGTCTTCGAGGGATAACAAGAGGTACCTAAATATGGAACCTTCTAGTACCGGAGTTTACATTAGAAAATATGATACCTTCCAATAACTTCTCAATGACTGTAAAAACTTTTAAAACAAACAGGTTACTACTTTGAACTACCCCTATATATTTCAAGTACTCCCTTCAGTTACAAATAAATACATCATTTAAACTCCATACCGTTAATAGGAGATAACTTTGACTGTAATTATATTTTTAACATGGGTTTTAGGCATATGAAAATAACATGACCAAAAATGTTGTAACCAAAGCTTTTGTAATATTATGGTTTGTTTATGAAACTATTCAGATCTATAAGATATAGTTAATGGTTCAAATTATATGGGGAAAAAATATGTAGTGAAAAACTAAGAAAAATGGATGTCTAAGATTCGTCCATATCATCATGAGAGTAAATCTACGAGTAAAATTTTTACTCGTGATGACATGGACAAATCTCATATGTCTATTTTTATCTAATGGTAGTTTTCAGGTTTTCAATATATATATAGTTTCTACCACATATTTTTTCCCAATTATGTGTTAATGACGTCTAAAACATCACTTATTAGTGTCTTGAGTGAGCATGTTTTTTTTAAGAACAAATCTTGTATGAAACAACTCAAATTTAATATGAACGGCCTCAATCAAACCCTAATTGAAGCCCAATCCAAAAATTTGGGCTTTTTTTCTTAAAAAAAAAACCTTGCTCCAATCGTTTCCTTATATGTGTCTCAAAATTGGAATCCCCTTCTCCTTCTTTCTCGTTCTTCATAAGTGAGGAGGCACTCGTTCACAATTTTTGCACAGCAAAGGAAGAGGATGACACGTGAGAAGAGATCGTGCGTAGGGAAGGTATGGTGGAGCGATTTCTTTTTGTGTTTCTGTTGATACTAATGGGTGGGTCTTTTTTAAGTTAATTTTAAAATATCTTTTGGAGAGATTAATATTTTCACATCTAAAATTATGTTTAGGATTAAAAAAATAAATTTTAGGGATGGAATTTTGGGTGCTCTCGGAAACAGGTCGAGAGGACGGAATTGCGACTTAATTTGCCAGGCTGTGTATGGGCTGCCTGCCAACCTGCTGTTGATGCTGTGCTGCTTGGTTCCTGCAGCCTTGTCTGCTATGCTCCCAGACATAGCCCAGCCCAGCCCGTAACCCTCTGTGGCCCCGAGCAGGCGAGCAGCAAATTCCTAGAACTACATTGCCAATCGAATCAAGAGGACAAATTCCTAGTAGCTTTGTTCGAAACTTGAGGCACGGAGAACGAAATGTGTATATTTAAATATAAAATATTATAAACTTAAAATTAGATTTATTTATTGTTTTTAAAGAAAATTTTTAAACACGAAACACGTGTGCTCACGATAAATAAAAAAATAGGCGAACTTATGTTTAGAATTCGAAACATTTAACTTTTTGTCACTTTAAGATGCGTCTATGACATATGGGTTCAATGGTAAATCCTTTATCATTATTTATAAGAGTAACAAATAATTAATTATTCCTTAGAATTCAGCCCAAATCTTTGTATCGATCTGCACCAGGCATGTGTATCCATGGTCTCCTTGGATACATGCAATGATGCAAATGCACCAAACATCTGTATGGTCAGGTTCATCAAAGTCAACCCAAGTCGACGCTACTTAGCTATATCGATTTTTTTCCTCCTCCTAACAAAAGACAGAGAAAAAAATTAACTAGGAAATCGACCACGTGTAAATGTGCTAAAACACACACGACTACTCCAGTATATATCTTTTAGGGTTGGCTATGTCTTTCTCGAATCTCGAACAGTGGTTTTTGCAATTCGATTGTTTTTTTTTTGTCTAATTCGCTGGGCATAATGTATAACTATTTCCTTTTGGAACGTATAAAAAACAGGAATAAATTAAAAAAAGATTGAGGTGCCATAGCTTATCGGATCCTTATTATTCATAAAACATATGATTGATTTCAAATATGTTGTTTGGATAATAATTAAGGGAAAGAGTAAAGGAATTCGGAGTGAGAAAAGATATGAAACAAGTTTTCATAAAGTTGGACCTTGTGTTAAAAACCCTCCAAAATTCATATAAATTGAGGCAATCTATAGAAATAACCTGGGAGTTTAGTAGTGTCACTCTTTTGTTCCTAAAGGGTCAAATGATTTATTTTTGCATATGATTGAAATCCTAAAAGAAAGAAAGGAAAAGAAAAATGTTCCAAGGAATGCTTCACATCGTCCCTTCAAGTACCATCGAGTTAGGCCTCGCGTTGCATTACATGTAATTGAAAATTCAGGCAGGGATTGTTTGCATCCCCATCTATTAACTTATTAAAGTGATAGAAAAAATAAGCATCCACGTTCGCTTTCACGGTCTAGAAATTCTCATATTGATCAGAGAAAAAGAAAAATAGAGTCCATATAGAAATACAATTTAGAAATAACTGAAATTTAGAATTAAAAAATAAGGAATATTAGAAAAGGAGACTATAGTCCATATAGACAATTTAGAAATAGCTGGAATTCAGAATTAGAAAATAAGGAATATTGTAAGATGAGACTAGAGTCCATGCCGATATAAAATTTAGAATTAATGAAAAATCAGAATTAAAAAATAAGAAAATTAAAATTAGGTTAGAGTTCATATATAAATACAATTTGGAAATAACGAAAAATTGGAATTAAAAAAATATTAAAAGAAGATTATAGAGTCATTATAGAAATACAATTTAGAAATAACTGAAATCGGAATTAAAAATAAATAATATTAGAAGAAGAGTATACCTTCCATAATGAAATACTCCTAGGAAGTCCACTATACTGGGACGGAGGGAGTACAATTAAGAAATAATAGACATTCCAAATTAAAAAAATAAGAAATATTAGAATAAAAGTATATTTTAATAATAAATTAAGAAAATACATATACTATTATATAAGAGAAAACATAATGATGCTAGCCGCGTAATCTGTGCGGGTCACCATGCTAGTTGAACTTAGAAGAAAAAAAGGTAATCTAACAAAAAAAAACCTCACTTCCTAGTTTAGAAAATAATTATTGAAGTTAGATTTGTGTAGTTCTAAAAAAAAAGATTTATGTCGCCCTCTAGCCAATTAAACCATATGATCTCATTTCTTCTTCTTTAACTCCAAAATACAACTTTCTCATTTTCTATTGTGCACGTTTTTTAAGCTAACGGTAATTCTTGCTCATATAAACCATCGGTCGTACACATGTAGGACCATAGATATGTTTGTATTGTCAATGTTGGGTACATCCATGGATGTAAATAAGAGCTCGCGTGCTAGTTTATTTTTCATCTGCTGATAAAAGATAAATAAAAAATATAGCTATATTTGTGGTTTAGCATACCGCAAAGTTTGAAAAACTGTCATGATTGTGTCTCACGTTGATGTGATATCATGTTATTTAGTGCCGTTTTAAGGTCTACAACGAATCGATTGATTCCTGTATTATCAAACAGCAAATGGACTGTGTGCAATTAATCATATATGGACTCTTGCTGGACAATCCCACATGAAGTGATACTAAAAAGAAAAAGGCAATTAATGTGAAATAAGATGTGAGTTCACTCACTTTTAAATGCCACTTTGTTATTCATAGTATTTTTTGTTTCTCATGACAGTGAATTTACTTGCTTTGTGTATTTTGCTTGGGATGCTCTGTTCGTTATTGCCAATTAATTTGTCTCTAATCATAGGAGATCAAAATTGGGACCAAGTTCTCATTCGGCCATTCCCAAACTAGGCGGTTTGGTTTTAATTTCATCAGTGAACAAAATCCAAAAAGTTTGTACAGTGATCATGCAGCCGGTAGTACTGTACAAGTACAAGCACTATTAGTTTCTCCTACAATTCTTTTTTTTTTCTCCCTGGAAAGAGAGGGAAAAAAGAAAAAAAGTTTTTTTTATTTATTGTTCTAAACCTTCATCATGACTAGCTGTAGCTGGAGGCTCTCCATCTGCATCTTCCTCTTTGTGTTGGCGATGAACTCCTCGAACCTCCTGTTCATGTCGTCCACATCGTCGTCGTCGTCGCCGCCGCCGCACTGGTCGAAGGCTTCCTCTTCGTCGTCGGCTCGTCCGTTTGTGTCCTCGCCGGAGTAGCGATGGTGATCGGAGTCGGGGACAGGGGAGCTGATCTTGTTGGCATCATCATCCACCACGACGATCGCTCCCGCGGAAACATGATCGTCGTCGTCGACGAGGCCGTCGTAGCTCTGTTTCTCCTCCCCCGCCGGCGGTAGCGCGATTGGCGGCGGCGCCATCGTCGTCGCCATGGCCGGCTCGTGGCGCTGTGCTGGACGACGTCGCCGCCGCCTATCGCCATCGCTGCCGTCGTCCTCGTCGTCAACGTGCAGCACGTCTACCACGGCGAGCTTGCTCGGGCGCCAGACGACGACGGCGGCGCTGCTCCTCGGTCGTTGGGGCCGGCGGCGAGAGGAAGCAGCAGAACTCGCGGCGACAGGTGGTGAGGCGTCGTCGTCGGCGGCGGCGTGGTGGCGAGGCGGAGGCGCAGGCGCAGGTGGTGCGGGGCAGGCGAGGAGGCCGGCGTCCCTGAGGACGAGGAGGAGGATGGCGTTGCAGAGCAGGATCATGTGGTTCCTCGGGCTGAGCAGGCCGAGGAGTCGCGCCAAGGCGTCGAACAGCGTTGCGGCGGTGGCGCCGGCGGAGAGATGGTCGGCGATGGCGCGCGGCTGGTGCTGCGAGAGGAGGAGGAGCGGGATGATTAGCGTGGAGAGCAGAGCGGCGCTGGCGACGACGGCGGCCTTCCCCTCCATCGTCGATCGATCGATGCAATCTGCAGATGGATGAGCACTACTCGATCGAGCTGAGCTGCCGAGGCTAACTGCAACTGTGCTCCCTTATATATAGTACTCCTAATAGTATAGAGAAAAACAAAATATTCCTTGAGATTGTTATTAGTAATAGGAATAGTATAGTGAAGACTGAGGAGACGACTGATGAATTTTATTTTTTTCTAATGAAAGATTTCTGAAAGCGACGACTGATGAGTTGGGTCGGGTGAGAGAGCGAGTCCGAGTCACACAACTCACAGTCAGACTAGAGTCGAGGACTCCAGTGAGCGCGTCCACGTCTGGGTGGGTCCCGGTCCCGATCAGCCAAGTCTAGTGGGCCCACCGGGCGCAGGAGCTGGACTGCTGGAGTGGAGTCTTTTCTGGCGAGGCCGCCCGGGAAGGGAAGGAAGACCGGACCAAGTCCACGTCCACGGAGGGAGAGCAGCCGGTAGAGCAGAGCACAGGCTTCGGCTTCGCATCACACACATCACATGGCAACGCGGCATGTTCGCTTGCCGAGGTCAACCCACGGTCTTCTCTCTAGGCTCCACGCACCCTCAAGCGAGAGACCATCTTTTTTTTCAATCCTACTTCCGCTTCGGTAGATTCGTATATACTCCCTCCATCCGTATGAGAAATAGATAAAATTAAATAGAAAAAAAAACTACAATTGATTCAGAAGTGGAGGTAGGTAAAAAAAATTAAATGGTGGAGAGTTGTTATTGATTGAGAAAAGAATGTTGGTGAAAAAAATTATTATATTTTGATACAAACCTTGCTATAAGTTGTTACATTTTGCGACAGAGGGAGAATGTCGGTTTTAGTTTCAATTCAATTGTCGTTTTAGCATTTAAATTATTATCGTTCTCGTATTAAAGTATTTTTTTTTTACTTGGTAACATTTATCAATGCAGTCATACTATACTACCTTAGGCTCAGTTAGTTTCCCCTTTTCCCAACTCCCCTTTTCTCGTTTTTTGCGTGCACGCTTTTCAAACTACTATTTTGGTGCGCTTTTTTTGCAAAAAGTTTCTATTCGAAAGTTGTTTAAAAAAAAGAAAAAGTACGAATTACCCCCTGAAGTATTGGGTGAGTACAAATTACCCCCCTAAACCTGAAAACCAGTCATTCTTCACCCTCAATTATCGATACCGAATGAACCCCCCAGCAGCTTTGTAAGCGGTTTTGGTCTACGTGGCAGTCCGATCAGCAAGTTTTTTTAATGAAAAAAGGGTAGGGCCCACCTGTCAGATATATCAACTCTCTCTATCTCTTTCCCTCTCACCCCCTTCTCTCTCTCTCCCGTTAGATGCAGGCGGCTGCGGCTCGCGCGCCGGCGGCAGCGGGCACCTCCTTGGCCTCCCTGAGACGGCAGAGCGATGGCCAGAGCGGTGGTGGTGGCAAGCCACAGGTGGAGCAGCTGTGGTGGCAAGCCGTAGGCAGAACGGTGGGGCGAAGCAGCAGTGGTAGAGCGGGACGGGCGGAGCGGCAACGGCCGAAGCATGCCGGCAATAGCAGGGCGGCCGGAGCGGGGGAGGCCAGAGAGAGAGGAGGTGAGGAGGCCAGGGAGCGAGCCGAGAAGGGAGGAGGCCGGCGAGGGGGCGGTGAGGCCGGGAGAGTCGTCGGAGTCATCCCCCCCCCCCCCCCCGTCGTCGTCGTTCGAGCCACTCCCGCCGAAGTACGACGAGCCCAACCATCGTCGTTGCTGCGACGACCACCTCTGGCCCGACGACGACCGCTGTGCCCTGCTACTCTTCCCCGACACCTGCTCGCTGGGATCTGGCTGGAGGCAGCGGCCGCGGGGGAGTCCGGCCTCCTCATCTCTCAGCCTCCCTACGCCCCTCGCGTTCGAGCTCGTTCGGGGAGAGGAGCGCCGCGCGGCGCGGCGCGACGGCGGGGGAGAGGAGAGAAGCACCGCCCGCCTCCTCCTCTCGGCGCGCTCGCCGCATCCCCTCCGCGGGCGCTCGCCGGCATCCCAGCCTGTCTCGCTAGCCTCCCCTCCACTGTCCCCTCCTCTCGCCACCCCCAAGCTCCGTCCTACGCCGTCCCCTCCGCCCCCTCGAGCTCCGCCGTCCCCTTCGTCGCCCCGTGCTCTACCCGCCGTCGTCCTCGAGGTGAGGGAGGGAGAAGAGAGAGAATTTTGGAGAGAGATAGAGAGGTGTGGTGTAAAAGAGAGGGTGAGAGACTGACATGTGGGGCCCACTAATTTAAAAAGAAAATAATTGCTGACTGGACTGCCACGTAGACCAAAACAGCTTGCGAAGCTGCTCGGGGGGGGGGGGGGTTTCGTCCGGTATCGATAGTTGAGGGTGAAAAATGACTGGTTTCCAGGTTTAGGGGGTAATTCGTACTCACCCAATACTTTCGGGGGGTAATTCGTACTTTTTCCTTAAAAAATCATATTGTTCTATTTTTGAAAAAAAATTAGCTAATACTTAATTAATCACGTGCTAATGGATTGCTCCGTTTTCCGTGTGGAGGAGTTTGGTTCCCAACCATCCCAAACAAACGCAGCCTTAGTCTTAAAACAAAACTATTTTAAACTCGTGTGAGAATATTCTCTCGTTATTTGAATATCATTCAAATGGATATGAAATTTTTTAAAAAAATATTAACAAGATATATTAATATGTGATAAATTATTCCACAAATATGCAAGGTCAAATTTAAATTTTACAAGTTGCAACAAAAAAAACATTAAGTTTTTACGTGAATTTGTATAGTTGTTTGTTTGGATTCGTGTAGAAAAAAATATAATATTCCAAGGACGGATATTCTCCGTAGTAATTAATAATCCCCGTCCTAGAATAAACCAACATGATATGACATATACTAGTAGATTCGTTGTGTTTACACAGTACGACGTTTGCTTACTTTGGAACAGAGGAAGTATGTCTCACCTTCTATCTCAGTGTAACATCTGCTTAGGGGGTGTTTCGATCCCACCCCAAAATTTTACACCATGTCACATCGAATATTTAACACATGCATGAAATATTAAATATAGGCTAAAAAAAACTAATTGCACAGATTACGACTAATTTACGAGACGGATCTTTTAAGCCTAATTACTCCATGATTTGACAATATGATTTTACAGTAAACATTTGCTAATAACGAATTAATTATGCTTAATAAATTCATCTCGCGGTTTACTGACGGATTCTGTAATTATATTTTTTTATTAGTGCCCAAACACCCTATGCGACACCCTATATAATAGCCGATGTGATACGCCAAAATTTACGTCCCTGAACCTAAACACCCCTTTAACGACAAATAAAATTAAACAGAGAAAGATCAATCAACGGTGGTATACTAGGATTCTACTCCGTAGGACAGGACGATGTACCGCGTGGAAATTTCGCCGCGTTTTCCTTCCACTTGATACGTCATCAGTCAGACGCATTTGCATGATTGATCAATCACTAGGATGTACTCCTATGTTTGTTCGTTGCAATTTCTCCTCATTTGTCAGATCGAGGTGGGAACGCATGCTCCTGCTACCCATGACGACGCAGCTGCTAATTAATATTTAGTACTTTCTCTGTTTATTAATTACGACCTCATCGATCGATCTGATTAATTAAGATAACTCGCTATAGCTAGCTTCAACACGCTTTGGCATTGCTACGGTATCTGTGGACGCCGTTCGCCGCGGAACTGCTAAAGAACAAAAACTACGTACAAGTCATTTTTTTTGTGACCTAGCATTTGCCACAAGTCAGCACCAAACTTCTCCAAGATTGGGTATCAAACATTTGATAGCAAATTAAAGAAAGAGGTCAGAACGGACCTCATCCTGCTTTTTGGGTCACCGGTGTTAATGTATGTGACGTAGATTAAGAAACTTGGAGCAATCTTGTAAAGTTGTTACTAAGTGCGCAATGGACCATTGTTGACAACTAACTTGTCATATATAATGTAAACAACACTAAAGTGTACCAACAGCTAGTCCAGCAACTAGTTTCTCATCTGTACCTTTCATGTCATCAACAATGCTTTCATACTGTATTCTACACTTTTTTGTTTCTAGGTAAACTGGTCAATGAAAAGTATTTTCCGGAGAAAGCAACTTCTTGTAGTATAGCCGAGTTCAAATCCAATGCCTACAAGAGTAGTAATGTTTGTCCAAGCTTTTTTTTTAGGTTAATTGGATCCATGTCATCGTAAATATGTCATATTAAAAAAATGCCACTACGTAGATGCCACTGCAATCTTCTAAAATTAGAACCATGCCACTCCATCACGATTTCCGTTGTCTCCGTCACATTTTCTGTCACGCTACCTTCATCTCCTTCTCGTCTTCATCTCCCAATGCTTAGCGGTGGTGGGAGCGTGCTAAGGAAGTAGGTGACGACGGCGGAGTGAGTGAGCATGGTGAGCGACTTCCAAAAGGGGTCCCTCTCGACACGGCTCAGCATCCCAATGATCTACGGCATAGACACCGTGCATGGACACACCAAGCAGCAAGCCTGCGCCGGAGGAGGAGGAGGGCACGACGACGGATAGGGAAAGGGCAGGATAGGAGGAGAGCTCCTTGGCGAGGGCGGTGGCGAGCGGGACGTGCATCCCGAGCTAGATCATGGGGGCGCAGTGGCAGCGATGAGATACGACGAGGAGGTGTTGCTGGACTGCTCTACTTCGTGCTCCCGGCCTCCATGCGGCGGCGTTCTCTACAGGCGGCGGCGGCAACCTCTGCTTCTTTCTTCCACAAGCTAATGAGCTGGTGGTCACCACTGTCGCCCGCTGGTGGTAACCGCCACCGCTCCTTAAACGCCAAACGAGGGAGGAGACCGAGCCGTGCGCCACCGCTTGAGGGCGCGGGCGCAGAGCTACCGGTCGGCATCGGCACCGGAGTCGAAGCCGATGAGGTTGACGAGGCGCACGCCAAAAACGGAGGATAGGATGTGGATCTAACGGGGATGACAGAAAAGTGGATGGAGATGGCATGGTTACAATTTTACAAAATTTCAGTGGCACCAAGTGGATATCGCATTTTTCTGATTTGACACATTTGTAGTGGCATGGATCCAATTAACCCTTTTTTTATGTGGCTTAAAAAAAGTCCTCCCAGTATTAGAAATCCTACTGATATGCGTGTTTGTGTATTCGTGCCATGTGCGAACACGCGAGCGTGCTGGCTTTTGCGATGATGAAGTCTTAAGGTATAGTTGGCCAAAAAGACCCATAACCCGACGCCCTGGTCCACGGCATGGAGATTTGGCTCGGTCCAGGCACGGTATGGCCCGAGTGTTGTCGGGCCCATGCTAATCCGGCCAAACCGTTAGATCATGCTTGGGTCTCTTCCTCGGCACGTCATGCCGGTCCGGCATGACACGGCCCAACGATCAGTAGGCCCAAAGATATAAAGAGGCAAAATAGACTTAAAACAGCCATATGAAGCATTGCCTAAAGAGATGAGGGAGGCAAATAGACTTATTCTAGGCATATAAAGCACTGCCCAAAGAGACGAGGGAAGCAAAATAAACTTACTCAAGGACGAGCACGGTGGATTGATCGTGCCTTCGAGCCGACACAGCATGGCCCGAGCCTTATTGGATCATGCATGGGCCATAGGTGCGGTCCATGGGCGGGCACGGCGAGTTGGTCGGGCGTGCCTTGGTCGTGCCTGGGTGATGCAGACATCACTACCTCAGATACACACAACAATCCTCCAACGGTCATTCAAGGACCGATAACAAGAGCTCGTGCGCGACAATTGAATTTAGAGGTGAGCTCGTTCCTATGTTCTTCTTTGTATGAATTCGAGAATAGATTGCTACCTAATGATTATATTGTGATTAGGAACAATGGAGGGGACAAGGAGACACTTGGAGAAGGACTTAGAGCCATGGAGGATCATCGAGGACGTCCAAGTCAAGGTGGAGGCCCAAACCAATTCGACCTCGGGTGCAATTCGGAGTCCAGGACCAGTCTGCACTAAAACGGCCGCCCAGGTCGCATACGTGCTCGAATTGGGACGTTCTTTATATGGATGGAAAGCTAAGAAGATAACCTTTCCAATTTTTGGTCCCACGTCCAAATTCTTTCTGAGTCAATAGGAATCGACCGAACAAGTTGACGCCCAGAATCTGTCCCGGTGCTGTGTCACCGTATTTGGGCCTTTGGGCCGTGTATTGTGTTGGAACCCATTAAGGTTGCGTCGAGAGGGGGTTGCATGACCCTAAACTTTATATATTAGTACCGCCGCCATCTTTAGGTTTTTTGGGTTTTGCATGATTCTTTTTCAGAGTCCGTAGTGTTGAGTTTGAGTCCTAGTTTAAGTTCCTGTTGCTGGTCTAGTGCTTGTTTTAGTCTAGTCGTGTGTTTTTCCTTTGTAACCCTAGCCGCCACCTTTCACCGTGTGTTAGAGTTCATCTTTTGAGAGCCATTTCCGCCATCATAAACACCCATCCAGATCACCACGCATCACCAGAACACCCTACAAACTCCGCTGCCACCATATCCCAATTCCACCGCAAAATAGATTAGGTTATATCCCCTCTGGAAAACCTAGCCGGAAGCCGAAACTTCAAACAGCCATAACTTTTGCATACAGACTCGGAATCAGGCAAATTTTAACTTTTCAGATAAGAGAAAAAAAATTTACATCCGTTTCTCCCCCCTTTGGCGGGTTTGGCGAATCCAAAATTCCAAAATTTGGCTTGCAAAATTGTCTGTTCGAGCTCACAAGTTCCTACACTTTGTTTATAGTGGTTTCAGAAAATTCCATAGGCTATATATCAACTCCGATTGAGCTGTAACTTGGAGGTGTGCCTATTTTCGTGTTCTGGAAAAAGAAAAAAAATCAATAAAATAAAATAAATAAAAAAGAAAAGTTGATTTCCACTAGTGCATTGAGCTCACGACGCGCTCCGTTGAGCTTATCTGCCAGTTCGGTTTTGTTGTTTTTGCTGAAACTCGCCGAAGCTTGCCTGCAAGTCCTTCTTTGCTGTTTACTAGTGTCATTTTCCTTGAGCCATTATTGTTACCACTACTGTCTAGGACACGAGTAGACCAGCAACTAAGGGCAAGTGACTTGGGATTTTTATTCAGCATTACTATCTGTCATTGGATTGTGTACCACTCAGATACATATATTTGGCCTTCCATGCTCCACATATTACTTCTGGACAGCACAAGTTCTTGATCCCTGCAATCGCTGACTACGCCTTCCAGGTATCCTTTGCTTTGCTGGTAAGAACCTTATAAGAGCTTGGTTGGGTACTCCATATTGCTGAGAATCGTTGAGAGGCACCACTACACCTGCGTAGTAGATTATTAGGGATAACCTTCACCGTTTGTTGCTGTTTTGGTGTTTAAATGGCAGGTAACGAAGGTGAGAAGAGTCCCCAGGATTTTGCTGACTGTGTCAGTCAAGAGCAACTACGAACTCTCCAAGAAAATACTCAAAAGGGTATCACGGAGGCCGTTGCAAAGTCTGTCCAAGATGCCTTCACTAAAATCGGTTTCCTGAACCACATGGAGAGGTTGGACAAGCGGATATCCACGCTAACTGATCGGGTTGCCGCGTTGGAGACACCTTCCAATGAGGAAGTGAGTGGTGACGACGATGCTCATCCTGAAGACACGGTGTATGATTCGAGTGGCTATATTGACGGACCAGCTACAAGGCAAGCACGGCTACGACGTCGCCTAGGCACAAACCGCACAGGTATGGGTGGCACTCGCCACCAACAAGGTAATAATAATCGTGTGCCCGATGATCCTTATGCTAAGGTTAAGTTTAAAATACCATCATTTTCAGGATATTATGATGCTGAGAAATAACTTGATTGGGAGATGACAGTAGAACAAAAGTTTAATGCCCACCTTGTACCTGAGCAACATAGAGTTAGACAAGTCAGTAGTGAGTTCAAGGATTTTACTATCATGTGGTGGGCTGGGTTATCTGATGAGGGGGTACTACCTACTACTTGGGAAGAACTTAAGGTAGCTATGCGCGATAGGTTTGTTCCTCCATCTTATCATAGAGACTTACGCAAGAAATTGATGCGTTTGGAACAAGGGGATAAATCTGTACAGGATTACTATGGTGAGCTACAAAAGGGTGTCAGACGCTGTGGCATAGTGGAGGGGGTCGAGGATGCTATTTGTCGTTTTTATTCTGGTTTGAGGGAGGAAATTCAGAACATTGTTGATTGTAAGGAATTTAACTCTGTCAACCAGTTGTTTCAGTTTGCTATACTTGCAGAGAAGGAATTGCAGGGGCGTGAGCAGCAGGGCAAGAACAAGGCGAGCATGTACACTCTGTGCACGACGCCATCTGTGGGACTGCCCAAGGCCGTCTCTTTTCGGGCGCTGTCCCAGCCAGTGAGCAAGCGACCAGCTGCATTCGGAGCTTCTGCAACACCAAAACCATCTCCACCACGACCAGCAGAGTCAGGTAAAAGTTCTTCGCAGGTACCCGCCAAGAGTGCCTCATCTGTTGCCTCGACGGGACGCATTCAGTGCCACCGTTGCCAAGGGTTTGGGCATGTGCAGAAAGATTGCCCTAGTCAACGGGCATATGTTGTTACAGAAGATGGCTACATCACCACCTCCGATGTGGAAGAGGAAGAGGAGGAAGAAGAAGTTGAGGATGAGGATGGCGAAGTCTTTGGTCGTGATGACACAATGGCCTACAGGACCATCATTGTGCAGCGGGTGCTCAGCACGCAGGTGCAGCAGTCTGAGAGGTTGCAATGCCATAATTTGTTTCAGATTTTCTTCATCATCAACAATCGTCGTGCACGTGTGATCATTGATGGAGGTAGCTGCAACAACTTGGTGAGTTTTGATTTGGTCAAGAAGCTTGGCTTGACCACACGTACACATCCACATCCTTACCATATTCAGTGGTTAAACGATTCTGGAAGAGCAAAGGTAACTCAGGTTTGCAGGGTTTTGTTTTCCATTGGCTCATATGCAGATTCTGTTGATTGTGATGTGGTTCCTATGCAAGCTTGTTCACTTTTGTTGGGTCGTCCTTGGGAACATGATAATGATGCTACACACCATGGTAGGAGTAATAAATACACTTTTGTGCATAATGGAAAGAAAATTGCTTTGCTAGCTTTGACCCCTGCTGAAATTGTAGAAGCTGATAAAGAACGAGCTGCTAGTTTGAAACTTGATGAATCTGAAAATCAGCAAGTGGCTAAATCTGTTTTTCCACCTAAAAAGGATAAGCTTTCACCTAGTTCTAAGGTTGAGAGGATTAAGTTGAAGGGTGGTGTTCTGCTTGCTACAAAATGTGACATTGCTAAAATTTCAGATGATGATATTTGCTATTCCTTGATATGCAAACAAGCCTTGGTTTCTATGATGTTGCTAGTTCGATACCTCCTATTGTTACTAACCTTTTGCAGGAGTATGAGGATGTATTTCCAGCTGAGATACCCCCGGGATTGCCACCTATGAGAGGGATAGAGCATCAAATTGATTTGATTCCAGGAGCATCATTGCCAAACCGTGCTGCTTATCGAACCAACCCAGAGGAGACTAAGGAAATTCAGCGACAAGTTCAAGATCTTTTGGACCGTGGGTATGTACGTCAAAGCCTTAGTCCTTGTGCAGTACCTGTAATTTTGGTTCCTAAGAAAGATGGTTCTTGGCGAATGTGTGTTGATTGTAGAGCCATTAATAATATTACTATCCGATATCGTCATCCTATTCCTAGGTTAGATGACATGCTTGATGAGTTGTGTGATTCTATAATTTTCACAAAGATTGACTTGCGTAGTGGCTACCACCAAATTAGAATGAAACTTGGAGATGAATGGAAAACACCTTTCAAAACTAAATTTGGTTTGTATGAGTGGTTAGTAATGCCTTTTGGTTTGACTAATACACCTAGTACTTTCATGTGCTTAATGAATGAGGTTTTAAGGCCTTTCATTGGATGATTTGTGGTAGTTTACTTTGATGACATATTGATTTACAGCAAGTCTTTGGATGAACACATGGATCATTTACGTGCTGTTTTTAATGCTCTACGCGATGCACGTTTGTTTGCTAACCTTGAAAAGTGCATCTTTTGCACGGAACGAGTTTCATTTCTTGGATATATTGTTACTCCACAGGGAATTGAGGTGGATGAGATGAAAATTAAAGCCATAAAGAGTTGGCCGGTTCCCCAAACCATCACACAGGTGAGGAGTTTTCTTGGTCTTGCAGGATTCTATCATCGTTTCGTCAAAGATTTTAGTACCTTTGCTGCACCATTGAATGAGTTGACGAAGAAAGGGGTGGTCTTCCATTGGGGAAAGACACAGGAGAAGTTGTTTGACACTTTGAAGGACAAGCTTACACACGCACCATTGCTACAACTTCCAAACTTTGGTAAGACTTTTGAGTTAGAATGTGATGCTAGTGGAGTTGGCATTGGAGGTGTGTTGATGCAAGATGGTAAGCCTCTTGCATATTTTAGCAAGAAGTTGCATGGTCCTGTTTTGAATTATTCCACGTATGATAAGGAATTGTATGCTCTTGTACGTTCTTTAGAGACGTGGCGTCATTATTTGTGGCTTAAAGAATTTGTTATTCACTCCGATCATGAATCGCTTAAATATATTCGCTCTCAAAATAATTTGAATCGTAGACATGCTAAATGGGTTGAATTTATTGAATCTTTTCCTTATGTTATCAAACACAAGAAAGGGAAAGATAATGTGATTGCAGATGCCTTGTCTAGACGCTATACTTTCTTGTCCCAACTTGATTGTCGGATTTTTAGACTTGAATCAATTAAAGAACAATATGCGCTTGATGCTGATTTTAATGAAGTGATGTTAAATTGCAAAGAGAGACGTACTTGGAACAAATTTGTGATCAATGGTGGATTTGTTTATAGAGCTAACTGTCTATGCATTCCAGTTAGTTTCGTTCATCTTTTGTTGATACAGGAAGCGCATGGAGGAGGGTTGATGGGACATTTTGGAGCTAAGAAGACGAAAGATGTTTTGGCCTTACATTTCTTTTGGCCAAGGATGAGAAAAGATGTTGAGAGGTTTGTAGCACGTTGCACCACTTGTCAGAAAGCTAAGTCTCGTTTGAATCCACATGGTTTGTATATGCCTCTTCTTGTACCTTCTATTCCTTGGGCAGATATTTCTATGGACTTTGTTTTGGGATTGCCTAGAACTAAGGGGGGGAGGGATAGCATTTTTGTTGTGGAGGATCTTTTTCTAAGATGGCACATTTCATACCATGTCATAAAAGTGATGATGTTGTTCATATTGCTGATATGTTTTTCCATGAGATTGTTCGCTTGCATGGTATGTCTTCTACTATTGTTTCAGATCGTGATGCAAAATTCTTAAGTCATTTTTGGCGCACGCTATGGAACAAGTTAGGTACAAAGCTATTGTTTTCTAGAACATGTCACCCACAAACAGATGGCCAAACGGAGGTAGTCAACTGTACTTTGGGTACCATGTTGAGGGCTATTTTGAAGAAAAATTTGAAGATGTGGGAAGAATGTTTGCCTCATGTGGAGTTTGCATACAATCGGGCAACACATTCTACTACCAAGGTAAGTCCTTTTCAGGTAGTGTATGGTTTCAACCCTCGTGCTCCTATTGATATTTTGCCTTTACCTACTAGTGAGAGGGTTCATAATGATACTAAGGCACGCGCTGAATTTATTTTGAAAATGCATGAGTCAACCAAGCTCAACATTGAAAACATGACTGAAAAGTGTAGAATTGCTGGTAGTAAAGGTAGGCAAGAGGTTAAGCTTAGACCGGGTGATTTAGTTTGGTTGCACTTGAGAAAGGATAGATTTCCGGAATTGAGAAAGTCTAAGTTGATGCCTCGTGCTGATGGTCTTTTTAAAATTGTTGAGAAGATTAATGATAATGCATATAAACTTGAGTTGCCTCCTGAGTTTGGGGTTAGTCCCACGTTTAACATTTCAGATTTGAAGCCATACTTGGGAGAAGAGGATGAGCTTGAGTCAAGGACGACTTCAATTCAAGAGGGGGAGGATGATGCGGACATCACTACCTCGGATACACACAACAATCCTCCAACGGTCATTCATGGACCGATAACAAGAGCTCGTGCGCGATAATTGAATTTAGAGGTAAGCTCGTTCCTATGTTCTTCTTTGTATGAATTCGAGAATAGATTGCTACCTAATGATTGTATTGTGATTAGGAACAATGGAGGGGACAAGGAGACACATGGAGAAGGACTTAGAGCCATGGAGGATCATCGAGGACGTCCAAATCAAGGTGGAGGCCCAAACCAATTCGACCTCGGGTGCAATTCGGAGTCCAGGACCAGTCTGCGCTAAAACGGGCGCCCAGGTCGCATACGTGCTCGTATTGGGGCGTTCTTTATATGGATGGAAAGCTAAGAAGACTTTCCAATGGTTTTGGTCCCACGTCCAAATTCTTTCCGAGTCAATGGGAATCGACAGAACCAATTGACGTCCAGAATCTGTCCCGATGCTGCGTCACCGTATTTGGGCCTTTGGGCCGTGTATCGTGTTGGAACCCATTAGGGTTGCGTCGAGAGGGGGTTGCACGACCCTATATTCAGTACTGCCGCCAATTTTAGGTTTTTGGGTTTTGCTTAGATTATTCTGTCGAGAACAGTTTCGCCGCTAGATCGGTTTGTAAGACCCCAACTCATGAGCTTAATCATTCATCTGCAATTTTGGTTATTTTCTATCTCGTTCTTGTTTGTGTTCTTTGATTGGCAAACAGGGATTAGCCTTCTCGGCGAGGTCATCCTTGTTTCGATACGAGTGATAACCAGAGGAGACGTGGTGCTGCGATTGCGAGGCTCAAGAGCGTGCGCGTTCAAGAAGCCGGATCGATTTGTGTCGCGACTCCGCCCAAATCGTTGTTTATCAAAACCTTTCGAAAGATCAGGAACCCTAGTGCACATCACTGGGCCAGGCCGTGTCTTGGTCCTGGGCCAGGCCGTACCTAACGGCCTATTTGGCCATCTATAGTCTAAGGGATGCATCACCCTTAGGCATATATTCGTGCTTGCATGGCGGAGCCAGAAAATCTACGTGCGTAGGGCTGAAATAATGAGAGTCTATGGTAGGGCTAATCCAAGCGTTGCGCACTAAAAACTAATCCGCATATAAGTAAAGAAACAATGTATAAGTAAATGACAATTTTTTTACTTATGCATTGAATTTGTCATTTATGACTGCATATCGATCAAGCCAGAAAAAAAAACATAAATGGCAAATTTACCTCTAATAACGTACTAGCAAATTACTAATTCACTCTTAATAAGGAGCGGTTCAGATCATTTCTATTGGTAGTATAATACTACTAGAGAGAACATTCTGTCCAAATTTAGGATAGGATGCATTCTTTTGTTGCACTTGCACGCAAAGATGCCAACTAATTCAGCAAAGAGATATGTTCCAAAACCAATTAGGAAGAAAGAGATGGAGAAACAAAAATAAAAATATCTCAAGGGCATTATCTGTGACCACACTTATCATTGGACCACCACAACCTCCAACCTCCAAGGCCAACTGTCAGGGAAAGCCATTATCAACAAGAACATCAAGGCTTATCCTCCCTTCCTGCAAGCCAAAATTCTGAATCGAAATCCAGCTGATTCCCATGGATTAATACTGATCCCAACAGTTCTTTGTCTTCTCCCTCCTTGCTCCAAATGGCCGGCACCGGCTTACGATTCCGGCAGGGCGCCATCTTCTTCTCAGGAGCTCATGCTGCTGCTCATCCAAGAACAAGGACTCCTCACCACCATTGCTCACCTCAGAGGACGCACGATGCGAGAGGAAGGTGCCGCCTCACGGCTAAGTCCGCAAATGGACGCCCACAGATCAGTGCCTCCTTCAGAGATGGTAATGTAACCATTAAGCCAAGCTAAGCTGACAAAGTTCTCTGAATTTTTCTGCATTCAAAACTTCAAAAGTGGTTGCTGCAGTGGCGATAGATGGGGCACAGTCTGAAGATGGGGCGCCAGAGCAGGGAGGATCCACCGTCAGCATCACCGTCGTCGGCGCCTCCGGCGATCTCGCCAAGAAGAAGATCTTTCCCGCGCTTTTCGCCCTGTACTACGAGGACTGCCTCCCGGAGGTTAGTGTTGGTTCTTTGTTTCAGCTGAGCTTGCCATATGTGTAGCGTAGTTCTTCAGTTTGGGCTCAAAGACTTGTCGGGCACTAGAATTTTAGTTTTAGTTAACCTCTGTTAATAATGCAGCATTTTACAGTTTTTGGTTATGCTCGTAGCAAGATGAGCGATGAAGAGCTCAGGAACATGATTAGCTTGACTCTGACATGCCGGATTGATCAGAGGTACACTGCTTTCAGTTTTTCATAGCTGTAGATGACCTTAGCACCACTCAATTTAATTGTTGGGTCCTTGGCTCCTTGCTCAGTGAATAGTTTGCAACTTTGTACAGTATTTTTGCACCTTGTCAGATTTTGTTGATTTTTAGTATTGCTTATCCGATTGGTGATCCAAAATTGAGTGATCTATGTACTATGTACTCAAAAAGTTTTTATCCGTTCAGTCTCTGTCCTGAAAATTTGTGATAACTTGGATCCATTAGTTTTTGTATTCTCGATCAACAGGATTTTACTATGAAGGTAACGCATTTCTGTTTGAAAATTTTCAGGGAGAACTGCAGTGACAAGATGGAACAGTTTCTGAAGAGATGCTTTTATCAATCTGGGCAGTACAATTCAGAGGAAGGGTTTTCTGAACTGGACAGAAAGCTAAAAGAAAAGGAGGTAATCCTCATGTTTTCATGATCTCTGTATCTTAATTGAAGTGATGATCATGCATACGAAGTGTATGCCTAGTTACTCACCCAAATTCAGTTAAGGCTCCAAAATCCAAAACACATATGATGAATGTGGAATTATATGATTTGTCAAATAGGCAATCTGGTAAGAAATATCTGGTAGTATTTCTTTATCAGTGATACATTACATATAGATGTCTGAAACAAAACACTGTCTACAGACTATAGTTGTTGAATACACAAACTTGTATGAGCAAATACAGAATGGTTATGATTGCGAAGCTCATGCAAACACTTATCATCAGGCTGGCAAGGTACCAAACAGGCTCTTTTACCTGTCGATTCCACCGAACATATTTGTCGATGTGGTGAGATCTGCTAGTCGCACAGCATCATCTCAAGACGGATGGACAAGGTTCATAGTGGAGAAGCCATTCGGCCGCGATTCCGAGTCGTCAGGGGAGCTCACTCGAAACTTGAAGAAGTACTTGGCCGAGGAGCAGATATTCAGGTTTAGAGCAACTTCAGAAGTTCAGATACTTCGATACTGATATAATCCTGCAAAATGAACAACATCTTCTGAATGTACTGTTGTTTATGTAGGATTGACCATTATTTGGGGAAGGAGCTGGTTGAGAACCTCTCGGTGCTCCGTTTCTCCAATCTCGTCTTCGAGCCACTGTGGTCGAGGAACTACATCAGGAATGTGCAGCTCATATTTTCTGAAGATTTCGGCACGGAGGGTCGAGGCGGGTCTGCCTTATCTTTGCCCTTTGCTTCTTACATCCAATGTTACCATGAACTGAAATATTCAAGAGAAAATCCTTTCTATACCCCTAGAAATTTAGCTAATCCTTTCTATACCTCTGAATTTTGCTTACTTCCTTATATACATCCAAAATTCGATTTTGATCCCTTCCATACCCCTCCCGTCAGTTGACCGTTAGTTGACCGTCTAATTTCTATAAAAATAACCATTTTACCCTTCGGATGAACATATAAATTTATGAATTAGATTATTAAAAATATAAAAGCTTCTCATATGAGACTATTATAGTTAAGAGTTTGTTGTGCGATGCATTATTTATCCCCAAAATTATTTTTATATAATGAAATAAAAAATATGTATTTATTTTTAAAAAAACATAAAAAATGAGGAGCATTCATACAAAGATAGGACCAATGTTCACAATAATGCTTTTATGAATGCTCCCGATAAAAAAAATCTATTGTCCTATTAAAATTTCAAATAAAAACTTTAATTTATTACTTTTTTTATTTTCAAAATTTATGTCAAAATTTTCTGCACTAATTATTTAGTCTCATTAGTTTCATAAAATGTATGTACTGCGCACTCAAACAAAATTTTCAATTGCTTTTTAAGCTTATATTCAAACTTAAAGCATCAAGGGCAAAAAGGTCATTTGCAACCAAACGTAATAGTAAAATGATGGAAAATGTAACGGTAAGGGTATGGAAGGGATCAAGTTGAAATTTTAGGGGTATAGAAGGGATCGGGTAAATTTCAGAAGTACAAAAGAGATTAAGTGATTTTTCAGGGGTACAGAGGGAATTTACTCAATATTCAAATAGAGTAGCAATCAGCTGATGATGATGATGAATTCTTGTGTTGTGGTTTTTGCAGCTACTTCGACAACTACGGGATCATCAGGGACATAATGCAGAACCACCTGCTGCAGATCCTGGCCCTGTTCGCCATGGAGACTCCGGTCAGCCTCGACGCCGAGGACATCCGCAACGAGAAGGTCTCAGATCATGATCAAATTTCGATTCCAACGTGATAATTAAGAACATGAATAAACATCTTTCTTGATTAGATATATGGAACTGAAAGTATGGAGGCGATTAATCTTAATCAGGTGAAAGTGCTGAGGTCGATGAGGCAGCTGAGGCTGGAGGACGTGGTGGTGGGTCAGTACAAGGGGCACAGCAAGGGCGGGAAGACGTACCCGGCGTACGTGGACGACCCGACGGTGCCGAGCGGCAGCATCACGCCGACGTTCGCCGCCGCCGCCCTCTTCATCGACAACGCCCGCTGGGACGGCGTCCCCTTCCTCATGAAGGCCGGCAAGGCCCTGCACACGCGACGGTCCGTACAATCTCTTCTTCCTCATTCTTGTCACTACTCCATCCGTTTCATCGGACCATATGCCATTTTAATTTTTTTTCTAGTTAATTTTTTTAAGTTTAGCTAAGTTTATATAAAACCATAATAACATTTTTAACCTAAAACAAATATTTTATCAAAATATATTTAATATTAAATATAATAAATCTAATTTGAAACTTTTATATAAACTTAATAAAGTTTGACTAAAAAATACTTTTTTCCGTTTGTCATTTTGACTTTTTTTTCTAATCAAACTTATTTTAGCTTTATTTTAGCTTTGATCAAATTTACAGAGGAATTAGTTTCATTAAATATAGTATTGAATATTATAACATGTTTATTTTGTATTAAAATTATTATTATTATATCTATAAATCTGATCATACTTAAATATTTTAAAAAAGATTAAAATAACTTGTAATATAAAACAGCGGGTACGGCCATGGCGGCGACTGACTGATTGAATGGAATGAATTAATCATTGCATCTGCATGTGGGACAGGGCGGAGATCAGGGTGCAGTTCCGGCGGGTGCCGGGGAACCTGTACGGGCGGCGGAGCCGGAGCGTGGGCGGCGGCGGGACGACAGCGACGAGGGAGCTGGAGAAGGCGACGAACGAGCTGGTGCTGCGGGTGCAGCCCGACGAGGCGATCTACCTCAAGATCAACAGCAAGGTGCCCGGGCTGGGGATGAGGCTGGACAGCAGCGACCTCAACCTGCTCTACTCCGAGCGCTACCCCGCCGAGATCCCCGACGCCTACGAGCGCCTGCTGCTCGACGCCATCGAGGGCGAGCGCCGCCTCTTCATCCGCAGCGACGAGCTCGACGCCGCCTGGGCCATCTTCACCCCCGTCCTCGCCGACCTCGAGGCCAACAAGGTGGCACCCGAGCTCTACCCGTACGGCAGCCGGGGACCCGTCGGAGCGCACTACCTCGCCGCCAACCACAACGTCCGCTGGGGTGACATTAGCTAGCTCAGAAAATGAAAAGATCGATCGGAGTCGCTGTTACCGTGCTTGCTATAATCTTCATTTACCATTTGCATTGATGAATTCTTTATTGGACTGCTCAGGGACGAAATTAATAAAACAAAGCTCTAGTCATTCGAAATTGTTTTGTTTCGCATCATACTCCTCCTCAAAATTATGAGATACACGTTTATTTTTCTAGGAAAACTTTAATCAATAATATTTAAATTAAATAAATAATGTAAAAAATATCACTAGATTTGTCAACAAAAGTATCTTAACCGTGCCTTATATATTTATCTATTTACATAAATTTCTGTAATAAATAGTTAAACGAAATGAAAAGGTGAAGGGTATCTGTTGCCGCAAAAAACACACACTGGCCTGGGAGATCTGCTTAGCTCCAGTACAAGACCAAATGTTGATGAGATGCGGGTGTGCCAGTCAGTTTAACCATGCAACTGACAAGATATACAAATGGCATATCAATGAGCCGATCGGCTGACAAGCCAATAGATTAATTCCAGCTGATGCCGATACCAGCCGATAGCGATAGGGTTTTGAGCTATTGGCTATAATTCTGATGTAGATTATGTCGCTTGGTGTAAATAACGATATAAAGGCAATCAACTGATGATAATAAAATATGACAATAATATAATCCAATGGAAACCAATCGGCTAACATGATATGATAGAAAAAAAGTATTGATCCGAAGGTTAAAGAATACATCGGCTGGAGGTCCGATGCTATAAAATCCACAAGACTAGATTAAACAATGAAACCTTTGTTGTCATCGGCTAAATCCAACTTATGTATGCAATCCTTATAAACGTCTAAATAACTCATCGGCTGAAACCCTGATGAAACCCTTAGTGGCAGTCAACGAGCAGGCTAGAGATTATGGTTCTAAGCATGACTTAGTAGATCGAACTTAACTGATGTAGCACTAATTATGAAAAGAAACATAATATCTAGACAATCAAGCCCTTGACTGATTTTCAGGGTGGTAGATGTCTTAGCTAATCTAATCTAGTAAAATAATTTAGCCGATATCGGCAAAAACCCTAAAGCGAGAGACAACCGATAGAGCTAAATTGAGATACTAAGACTAGATTATCTAAAACATATGATAAATAGGCTGACAAATATATCATCTAGATCAGAGTAATCCAAGAGGTCGAATGTACTGATGCAGCCTTGAACGACGCCAACGTAGACGATACAATTGCCTGGGCCGGCGGAACATTGGACTTACCCCTTCGCCGGAGATCGAAAACTGATGCAGCCCTGCGTCAGGCGTCAAGTCCCGCCGGATGATAAAATAAAGTAGAAAAAGTAAAAGGTGGCGATGCGCCGAATTGTATTGATCGTGGAGATAGTTTACAATGGCCACGGGTGTACATATTTATATCTATTGGGGGATGCTAGTCCTTGTAGAATAAGAAAGAAACTTTCCTAAAGATAAAAGGAAAACATAAAGTCCCTATAGGATACTAAATACACTTTCCTAAAGATAAAAGGAAACTAGCGAACTATTCCTAATTAATAGATAACTTGCCATGCCGCGTCCTCCTTGAACTCGGTCACTTCTGATAAGCTTCCTTTAATAGAGTAATTTCCTTAACCGAATATAGTAGGAATTCGACTATTGGTGATATGATAATTCTCTTAGGGGCTTACCAAATTTCACCGTTAACCATATCATATATAACATTTTAGTAAATCGAATCAACTAGTATGACTCGAACGTGTACACAGTTAGCCCTGTAGCAAACAAGTACTCCCTCCATTTCAAAATGTATGACGCCATTGACTTTTTGCACAACGTTTGACTATTTGTCTTATTCAAAATATTAGTATAAATATGTAAAATTATAAGTTAAGATTATATATTATTTGATGATACAACAAGCCATAACAAAATAAATGACATTCATTATTCTTTTAGTAAGACGAATGGTCAAATATTGTGTAAAAAGTCAACAACGTCATACATTTTGGAATAGAGGGAGTACTTGTTTGCTAAAGGCTAAATGTGCACACGTTTGAGCCGTACCAGTTGATTTGATTTACTGAAATGTTATAGATATATATGATTTATCACATCTCTATAAGAAGTCATGTGTGTCGTGTGTACCCTTTTTCTTCTTTCGGTGGAAGCTTGGATTTTACACCACATATACCCTATTCCATAATAAAATCACTCAACTGGTTGTATTTTTTTTTGTCTTTAACTATATTTAACTATATGTTTAGTTTTATATTCAACTAATTACATAGTCGGATACGACATCTAATTATGTGCATCTAGTCGATGAATCTAATATTTATTTGTCCTTTAAATCTTTTAGGCCTCCATAGCCTCGTAATGGAGAAAAGCACTCGGGATACTGCAATGGAGATATTGAAGCACTCGGCTTTATATCAGAGAAGTCTGAGAGAAGATTATTTTTTCGACTATAAAGGTCTTAGGAGCTGCTGTGGAGATTATGAGTATCATTTATCCACATGGTCGGCTTATACAACTGATAATGCGGGTCGGGTTCGCATATTGTGTAATAGATTAGAACTTGGGAATCATATTGCATTGTTTTCTAAGGTATAGCTCATAGTCCTAGTTATATACTATTATGTAAATGGATAAGAAAACTTATGTTGTACTCGGTTGGGTTTTCCTCATTATAACCTTGCCGCCGAACCTATATAAGTAGGGCAGAGAGTCCCCCAAAGGTAAAACCATAATTCGATCGTTGGATTAATACAGTACTTAGTGGATACAACACACGAACATAAGTACGGTATTACTTCTTATCAAAAAGGTCTGAACCTATCTGAACATTGTCCTCCTTTACTCATCTATTTTAGATCTAACGCGCTACCCCTTTTCTCGTTGCTGATTTATAGAATCAACTATCTCTCTTTCCTCAAGCTCTACTTGTGGCCTTTCTTACCACATTAATTCCAAGAGCCTCATCATCGTGGTAGACTTGGTAGCAACCAGAGGTCGTAAGGAGCAAAGGCAAGTGGTGTGGTATCTTGTGAGTGACAACAACGGCGAGCGTTGAGTAATGGACAACAAAAACGATGGTAGGTAGGCTCCTGTGGACAACGAACGATGGAAAGAGTAGTCTAAATTTATAGTTTTACATATTTTCAAATTGCCTAGGGAAGACGTGAGGGATGAGCGAAACCTAGGAAAAAACAATCATCGGATGCCAGAGTAAGTATAAGAAAATGGTAGTATATGGAGCTATTTTCGGTTAATTTCTTATTTTGGATGATTTGGCATAGAGTTTTACAAGAGATTTAGATTGGATAAGAAGTTTGATGGGAGAAAATTTTCTCTTGCAAGTATAGCCTGATAAATTTAACATATCCATCACAAAAATATCATAATTTGCCTCCCCAAATTTGTCAATGAAAGAAAAGCAGTAGACCCTTTGCTGATACCATCTATCTATTATATTATTAAAACAACTTTAAAAGGAGGCATCACGTTCGCTGTGGGGCTAGAAATTCTCACATTAATCGGAGAAAAAAATAAAAAAAAAAGAGTCCAAGTAGAAATACAATTTAAAAATAGCTGAAATTCGGAATTAAAAATATGCAATATTGAAAGAAAAATCCATATAAGAACCCAATACGAGATTAATCAAAATTCGGAATAAAAATAAAATAAAATCCAAAATTTTTTAAAAAAAGTCCAAGTAGAAATACAATTAAAAATAACTAAAATTCGGAATTAAAAATAAGGAATATTGAAAGAAGAGTCCATATAAGAACTCAATACGAGATTAATTAAAATTCAGAATAAAAAAATAAAATCTGAAATTAAAAAAAAAGAAGAGTTCACGTAGGAATACAATTTGAAATAACTAAAATTTAAAATTAAAATAAGCAGTATTAAAAGAAGAGTCCAAACCAATACGATATTAATTAAAATTCAAAATAAAAAATCAAATAAAATCCAAAATTATAAAAAAATAAAAAAGAGAGTACAAGCAGGAATACAATTCTGAAACAATTGAAATTGGAAATAAAAAAAGAAATTAAAAGAATAGTCTATATAGAATATATTATGAGATTAACCTAAATTCGAAATAAAAATAAAATAAACTCAGAAAATAGAAAAAGAAAATTAAGAGCTCAACGAGAATACAGTTTATAAATAACTAAAATTTGTAATAAAAAAATAAAGATTATTGAAATAAGAGACAATCTAGAACACAAGATGAGATTAATTATAGTTCGAAATAACAAATAAAATAAATTTCAAAAATAGAAAATAATTATACGAGTTCAAGTAGGAATATAATTTATAAATAAAAATTATCGGAACGAAAAATATGCAAGTTTCAAAAAAGATCCATCTAAAATAGAATGAACACAAATGACAATAAAGAGGGGAGAAGCAATAGATCTGGAAAGGAGTAGAGTGCTGGCGGCTGGGATAGCTAAAAACTATACACAAAACCCTAATAGAATCCCAATAACAATTAAGAGGAGTGACGATGGGCATGCCGTTAAGCAACATGGTCAAAGACGCTTGGCGGGACTTATGGAGAGTAAAAATAAACCCCAATGATAATCATGTTCGATTTTTAAAATCCCAATAAGAATAAAGAGAGGTGGCAGCGGGCGGACCGTAGAGTAGTAAATTGACAATGTTTGATGATACTTCTAAAAATTATGAAAACGAAACTCACCAAAACAATGAACTCCAAAAACTATATGGCATATTTTTTAAAGTTCTAAAGAGAATGAATAGAAATAGTTGTAGATCGAGTAAGCAAATAAAAAAGTGTCAAAGACGTAAGGGATAGCGACTGGCGTGGCTTTTAAAACTATAAAATTAGACGGGAATGATAATTTTAAATAAAATCATATTTAAAAAATAGATAATTTTAAATTGATCCTAGCGCGGGCCGCCCAACTATTTTTTTTTAAAAAAAACGAGATGCTTAGGGAGCATATCATCCAGATGGACGGTAGAGATGTCCGTCAATGGAAGAAAGTCCGGCTCCCATCGGAAGCCTATTCAGCTAAAGAAAAAGCCAAAATTTAAATTTTCAAACTTAATTTTGATATTGATTTTGAGATATTTTCAATGTAGTTTCTTTTTCATCATTAGCTTTTGAGTCACCGAGAACACATATATAAAATTTTTACCTACAAATTTATTTTTATTATATAATAAACCGTTTTGGCTTATTACAACGAAAGCCAAACGATGGGGCCCTCCATATTAACTGTTGCCACCGCAGAGGACACGCGTCCGTCTGCCCCGCCCTCAATCCCCGCTTCGAGTTCGACGCCGGTGAGCACACTCCTCCTCACTCAACTCCACCGCCTCCTCTTGTCTTGACCGCTTTGGGTTGGCTATATTTCCTCCCGTGAGCCACATCGCCGCGCCGCCGCCGCCTAACCCTAGTCCCCGCCGGCGCCGCCCCCGGTCAGGTGGGAGCCGGCGAACGCATTCCGGCCGCCGGTGAGCTCGCCTCCGGCCTCCCTTCCCCCGCGGGTGTCTCCGGTCCCAAGCGACACCTCTCTCCAAGGTCAGCGGCGATTTCCCCCTCCGTTTTCCGCTTCCTTCCTTTCCTTCCTTGCTAAGCACTGGACTGAGCTCCCTTCTGTGGTGTTCTGCTTGAAATCTTGAATATGCTTCTGTAGGTGAGCAGTGAGTTCTAGTTCCCGGCCAACGAAAGTCAAGCGACCGATAGGGTAGGGGGTTGCGCCGCCGACGATGGACTGCGAGAACGGCGCCGCTGGCGAGGATCGATCCAAGGTTAGCGAGATCCCCATTCCTCCATTGTTCCGTTTTGTGCGGCTGTCTGAGGGTGTCATGCGTCCATGTCCTGTGCTGTGTGCGCGTTTTGGGGGAAATGGCACTTTGTGTTTGTGTGTGTGTTGGTTAGCAGCATTCTTTTAGCCATGGATTGAACAATGAGCTCCTGCTTCGTAGTACTCACTCCGTCCAAATTATAGAGCGCCCCTTTTTTAGGAAAATCAAACTCGGTAGCTTTTAACTAATAATAATATTAACCATAGCATATCTATGCTAAGGATTATACTCCCTCCGTTTCATAATGTAAGACTTTCTAGCATTGCCCACATTCATATAGATGTTAATGAATTTAGACACACAGACACATCTATATGAATGTGGGCAATGCTAGAAAGTCTTACATTATGAAACGGAGGGAGTACATGTTATATTACTATATTCATATTTTAAAGTACTTTCATGTGATGCTAATTTCTTATTCGTTGGGAACACGTATAATTTTGGACGGAGGGAGTACTATATTTACTAGTAGATCGCTTGAATTGATGATGCCTTCCGCATTTGGTATCTCTGCCGTAAAGGAAAAATAATCCCTTTCCTTTATATATAGTCCGCCAAGGGCCTTCGCCAAGGATATTCTTATTCACTGCTCAGAGAAAATGAAAAAAAAAAAGCCATGGATTGACCATGCTGTGACCCTGTGAACCCCTTGGCGTCAATGTCTTGGTGGTTATAACAAGCATAATGAAATTAATGATGAATCATGCAGAGAGTGAGATATAATTTGTTCAAATTGTGCAAGTCTAATCCATGGATTTTGCATGCAGTATGCTTGCATCATGTAAACCAAGTATTGAGTTATGCGAGTATTCGAATATGTTTATCACATATGTCCCCATTTTTCATAAATAACTTCCAGTTCGGTGATTGTTGATTCTTACTACCAGGTTGGTGAATTCAAAGAAGAAATCCTGCAACTTGCTGCGCTTGCAAGTCAAGGAGAGGTATACAGTGTTGTAGTAGTCATCTGGAAACAGTTTGGTGGTACAAATTTCAGTGCATCCTATATGTTCTATTCACATACTGCAGCTTGTTTGATTCTAAATGTGCTGTTTATATGACCGTATGGCAGGAAAATTCACGGGCAGAGCTACTGGAGAAGTTCAACAAATGTAACAAAGATACACTCGTTGAACTGATCCGTTCATTTGATATGACTGGTTCAAAAGCTAATAGGAAGGTACGTCAGGCTAATATTTGAGATCTCTTTTACCTTTTGCAATCCTGAGGATTATGTTTCTTCCTCAGGAGGAACTTGTGACAAAATTGATGGAGTTCTTCAAAGTACACTGTCCTGATACTAACAGCGCATACCTTGATAAGGTTCAATTTCTGAACTGCAAGTTAATTTGGTCATGCCAATTTGTGTAAGACTTTTTTCTAGTGCTAATACTCATGTAGTCTCGTTCTCTATCTTTGTGATAACTGATAGCCTATTTTCACCTTCACATGTCTGATTGAACCATATCGACTGTGTCAATGGCATGTGTCAAATGATTAAGAAATAGTTCTCTGGAGAATTATACCCTGCTTCTTAAATGCGTGCGAGTTATACTTTTGGCCTTGGCTGTTATGCATTTATATATGCTTGTATTCTGCCCTGGATATGGGCCTCTAAGCTTATAGATCATTGTGTTGGTGGCTCGGTGCCTTGGTTGTGATGACAAGCATTATGAGACTAGTGTTAAAGTATGCAGAGTATGAGATATGCTTCGTTTTTATTAATGTACATATCATATCTAGGGATTGAGCATGTGGTATGCTGGTGTCATGTAAATAAAGTACTGAGTTATGCCTTTTTTGGAAGCATGTACAGAATTATGTTGTGTACTTATGGACCATGCTTTCCATTGTTTATCTTTTCCTTCTAATTTCAAATCTAGCTATTGAGTATGCAATTATGTTTACATTTTTTGAGTTATGTTGTCGGTTATGGATTATGCCCTAAATCGTATGAAATAAAGGCCTTACAGTTTGGTGACCTTCATTATCAGATAAATGACTTCAAAGAACAAACCCTCCAACTTGCTAGGCTTGCATTTCATGAAGAAGAGGTACATTCGTTTTGGAACAGCTTTGGTAGCATAATTTAGTTTTGTCATTGTTCTTTTATTCATTCATAGAAGATTCTTTGTATATTCCTAAACTTTATGTGGTTGCTGGATAACAGGAAAAATCACAGGCAGAGCTTCTGGAGAAGCTCAACAAATCTAACAAAGATACTATAGTTGAACTTTGCCGTTCATTTGATATCATTGGCTCAAAAGCTAACAGGAAGGTAGCTCCAGTTAAATATTTGAAGTTTCTTTCATTTTATGCAATAATGACATGCAAAAGTACTACCTTTTCTTTTGCAGGAGGAATTAGTAATAATTATGATGGAGTTCTTGAAGGAACACTGTTCTGGGACTGATGCCACAGACCCTGATAAGGTTCAAGTTCTTAAACTGCAAATTAGTTGGCCATGTCTGATGTTTTCTGTAATGCAAATATTTAAATTCCTTTCTCCATCGTAATTGGTAACATGTGTATGATGGTACATGTTAGATTGAAGCCATTGAACCATCTTAGTTGTTTTCTACCCATTACAGAAAACTAAGAAAAGAAGGCGTAAGAATGAAGTTACACATCTATCTGGCAGTAAACCTTTGAAGGTATATCATAGTTGTGTTGTATTTCCTTCTGCAGTCATGTTTGTGACACCAAGCTTCTTTCATATATATTGTTTTCTTTATTACCAAACTACTGCAGAAAATGAAACTTGATGGAACTTCACTGGAAATTCATGGTGAAGAGGAAGATAGTGGGGCTAAGTATGAGGAGAATATAACAAAATACTCGGAGTGTGACTTGGACGACAACAACAATGAATGTGCTAATAATGAGAAAGGACGATTTCCAAAGAATAAGGCCAGCCTTGAGCCTTCTGAAAGGGTAAATGATGTGCCAAAGAATTTTGTTGGAGCAGCTCCCACTGAAGTTCAAATACTTTCAAATGAACAAGCACTATCTAAGACACCGTTTGCAAAGGTGGTTAGCACCGTTGAAGGAGATAGAACTGACATGAAGACTTCTGGAAAGAAAAATGCTTCTATCACCAAGAAAAAAATGACCTCTAAGACAGATCGCAAGGAAAAATTTTGTGGTATTTTTCTGGAGTCTTTGTTTTCATTTATGCATCTTTGGCTCATTTGTGTTGTCTTGTTTGCATATCTCCATGTTGAAAAAGAACTTAGAAACACATATGCACCAGTTGCTCAGTTTGTTTTGCATTGTTTGCACATCTACATGTTGAGAAAGCACTTGCTGAAAAAAATTCAGTATTCATGAATGCCCCACATGTATTACTATTTGCTACTGCAAGGTATTTATTACTGCTTTGTCTGTAAAGATTATATTTGAGTTGGATAACTTGTCAATATGGTGGTGCAGAGTTAGCTGTCCTTTTGATAAACCACAAAGGGTACTGTATTGAAATAACTAAAACACAAGTTAAATGTCCACACATTTTTGTTGGTGATAAGGTGGAAACAATGTTTTATAGTACATAAGAACTCTAAACATTGCACTCTCTCTACTCATAAATATTTGACGTTTAGGACAAGATTTGGTCAAACTTTTGAAACTTTGACCATCAGTAATTTCTCATTTTTTTTAAAAAAAAAGGATGGCAATTGAAAAGTATAATAATATCATAAACTTATTTTAATATAAAATTGATTGTCAAGATTTTAGAAGTATGACCGAATTGTGTCCTAAGCGTCAAATATTTATGACCAGAGGGAGTAGCCGTAAAGATAGTATAATTCCAGAAACTATGCTGGTACCAGATTATCCAGATAATTAATCATGTCAAGGGTAGCTGGGATGGTTAAAATTGAGTTAAGTAGTGAGTATAAATTGGGTTTTGGATGAACAACAACACGGATGGAGATGTATCAACTGATCAGGTGGGATGGACTAATATAGGGCACTGTAATGCACGCAAACTGAAAACCCATGTTCTTTTCCGGGAAATATTTGAATCATACAGTAATGTGCAATATTGTAATGTACTGTGATATTCACTCATATAGTGCTTATGCGCGAAATAAATTGATCAAGAGAGTTGGCGGTAATTCCGACTTTGAGATATACTCCCTCTGTCTCATATTATAAGGGATTTTGAGTGGATGTGACACATTCTAGTTCTAGTACTACGAATCTGAACAGGCTCAGTGTCCAGATTTCTAGGTTACTACTCAAAATTCCTTATAATATGGGATGGAGGGAGTAGATAGTAGTGAGCACATATATATACTCTTGTGTAACTGATTGTGGAGCTTCACCGATAATTCGTCAAACATTGTACTTGATTGATACTTCCTCCGTTTCATATTATAAGACTTTCTAGCATTGCCCACATTCATATATATGTTAATGAATCTAGACATATATATGTGTTTGGATTCATTAACATGTATATGAATGTGGACAATGCTAGAAAGTCTTATAATATGAAACGGAGAGAGTAGTTTGATACACAAGATATTAATGATGCATGTTAATCTTTTTATGAAAAATGCGTGAATACTGTGGTTAAAGTTCATGTGCTAGAACACTGTTTCCATGCTGTGAATGAGATAGGGCCACAGATTTACTTCAGTCAACCTTACTTCATGTTATTGTGCAAATCATGTTGTTTTTCTCCACAAGTTGTATAATCTCCAGCTCCTCATTTATAGTCCTTTTCAAAACCTTGTTTCTTTTGTATTCAAAGGTAAACAGATGTACAAAGGAGATGGGAAACCTCGGAAACTGGCAGCAATACCAAACAGGGATGAGCTGAGGCAAGCTGTCTTCTTGATCTTAGATTCTGCAGATTTTGCGACGGTGAGATGCAATATGGTTCACTGTTTTTGTTAATCATGTAGTTCAGTTGTAAGATACAATAATGTTTACATAATTAAAGATTACGGCTGGTAATTCCATTACGTTCTCCCTGTTTCTCATGATCTATTTATTATGTTCCCATTTCAGATGACTTTTGGAGATGTTGTGAAAGAAGTCGGTATGTCTTTATTCGCCACCTTTGTCTTGCACTCTTTCTTTTCTTTTTTTCCCTGTTATCTGGTGATTGGAGATATGTAGCATGTGTTTGGTAGTGGTTCAGAAACTGTGAGACTACCTGGAAATGCTATCTCATTGGTTTACATTCATATCTTCAGACAAATACTTTGGCAAGGATCTCTTTGAGAAAAAGCCACTTATAAGATCCCTGATAGAAGAAGAGCTCTTTAGGCTAGGGGAGGAAGCTGAGAAGAAAGAACTGGAAGAAGAAGCGGCAGAAGTAAAAGCTAGAGCTGAACAAGCTGCGAAGGAAGGGACAAATGCTGGAGTTAATTCAGGTATAGACACGGCGGAAGCACTTCAAGTTAAGGATGGCAAATCTGAAGATGCTGCAAAGAACAAACGTGACAATAGTGCTGAAAATGGTCCGAAAGGTGGGGTATCTGTAGAAGTTGCTGAGAACATAAACAGAAGTGCGGCTGCTGAAAGTTCGCAGGATGGACGGTGTGAACATGACAGAGAGAATGCAAACAATGGTGGTGACTTTATCAGGGATGATAATGCTGTGCAGGATACTATCAGTGGTGATCATGTGGAATATTCCAGAGATGGTGAAGCTGAAAGGGCAAAGATGAACAGTAATGGTGAAGCCGTAGAAGCCGTAGATGGCGGAACTGAAGCATCAAAAGGTGGAGAAAGTGCTGACCCCAAAGATGATAACAACCGAAATGGCGATAAAAGTGCACTAGATATTGATGATCGTGGAGCTGAAGATTCTCACTGCAACAAAAACGGTGAAAATGTAGCTTGTGTGGAAAATGGCAAAACTAATGAAGCTGGCAACACTGAGAACGGTGAAAATGTGGTATCCCACGATGCTGAAAAGGATGATAAAAGAAAGGATCCCATTCAAAATGCAAACCCCGAACAGACCCTAACAGATGCTGGTGATGATGGTAAAACTGAAGATGCCGAGCACAACGCCAACACCGAAGCTGATGTTGATTCTTGTGCCGATGGTACTGCTGAGAATTAGAGGACCAACTGCAAACGGAACAGAGATGGATTAGCTCAAGTAGCACAGATATGCAGCTTTATGTTGGAAACTACCACTGATGGTGTTCTAACTTGAGTAGGATTAGCTTGTGCAGGGTCCATGTAGAAGTCTTGCTGTAGTAGATAGTAGAAATGTTCAAACTGCCATGTAAATTATCTTAGCTTGAAGGAGATGTATATTATGTAGCAGTGCAGTGCAGACCCTGGATGCTGGAGCAGTTCATTCCAGTCGTATTTATAACTGATGTTCAAAGGTTTTGTATCAAAGCTTAAACTTCAAATCCTACTTAGCAGAAGAGAAGTGCTATACGAACGACCAATGCATTCGACTAGCGTACGTCTCATCTCATCGGATTGTCCTGTTTGGTAGAGCTTTAGCTTCTAAATTTAGCTCCAAGCTCCAGGAGTTAAGCTTTAAGTGGAGTTGTGGAGCTGTCTAAACTCAACTCCACCTCTCTAAATTATTTTGTGAGAGTTTTACTCAGCTTCGCTCCTATTTTAAGTAGAGCTGAAACTGTTTGGCTAAGTTTTAGCTCTAGGAGAGGTGGAGCTGGAGCTGTGATTACTTTTGTGGGTCCAGTTTTTTTATAGCTAATCATGGTCATATAGGAGTCGGATGTGCAAGTCGTATGCATGGTCATTCTGTGCTCGGCTTATTAAAAAAATTATGTAAATGTAAAAAACGAAAAATTATGCTTAAAGTACTTTAGATAATAAAGCAAGTAAAAAAATAAATAATAATTTTAAAATTTTTTGAATCAGACGAGTGATTAAAAGTGCAAATAAAAACTTAAAATTCTTTGTATTATGGGACGGAGGGAATAGCACTGCAAGTTTAACTAAAGTATCCTACAAATTCAGTATTCAAAATATTATGCTTTGCCTGCTGCTGGCTGGTGCAGCAAATTGGTCCTGGTCCCGGTGCACGGTCCTACGTGGCGAGCCGGGCACTCGCGCATGTCAGGGGGGGCCAAGGCGCCGTCCCACGTGGCCTCGGGCCCACCCAGGCGGCGGGGATCCGTCCGACGTGGCGATGATGGACAGACGGCTGAGCGCCAAGTGGCACACGCTTATCAGCAAACGAACGGCTGGGGTCGGTCCACGTAGACGCCTCGATACGTTCTTATCCGCGCGATCCAACGGACCGATCCCCCCGCGCCATTCCCCACCCCACCATCTCTCTCTCTCCTCTCTTCTCTTCTTCCTCCCAGACTAGTCAGTCTCTCCCAAGAACACCCACTCCTCTAGTCTCTCTCGAGAGAGAGAGAAAATTGATGATTCTTGGGATGATTTTGAGGCGTCTGATTTGCTGAAGAGGAGGAGGAGGATGCCGGACTCGGACAACGACTCCGGCGGGCCGAGCAACTACGCGGGAGGGGAGCTGTCGTCGCCGCGGGAGCAGGACAGGTTCCTGCCGATCGCGAACGTGAGCAGGATCATGAAGAAGGCGCTGCCGGCGAACGCCAAGATCAGCAAGGACGCCAAGGAGACGGTGCAGGAGTGCGTCTCCGAGTTCATCTCCTTCATCACCGGCGAGGCCTCCGACAAGTGCCAGCGCGAGAAGCGCAAGACCATCAACGGCGACGACCTGCTCTGGGCCATGACCACCCTCGGCTTCGAGGACTACGTCGACCCCCTCAAGCACTACCTCCACAAGTTCCGCGAGATCGAGGGCGAGCGCGCCGCCGCCTCCACCACCGGCGCCGGCACCAGCGCCGCCTCCACCACGCCGCCGCAGCAGCAGCACACCGCCAATGCCGCCGGCGGCTACGCCGGGTACGCCGCCCCGGGAGCCGGCCCCGGCGGCATGATGATGATGATGGGGCAGCCCATGTACGGCTCGCCGCCACCGCCGCCACAGCAGCAGCAGCAGCAACACCACCACATGGCAATGGGAGGAAGAGGCGGCTTCGGTCATCATCCCGGCGGCGGCGGCGGCGGGTCGTCGTCGTCGTCGGGGCACGGTCGGCAAAACAGGGGCGCTTGACATCGCTCCGAGACGAGTAGCATGCACCATGGTACATATATACAGTAATCAGCAGCTGTTCATTTTTCTATGATTACTAGTTGACTTAAGCTTGCAAATTTGCTAATCTGAGCTCCTGAGTTTTTTTTTTTGGTCAGCAATTTCAAGATGGTCAGAAGCTAAATTTGTCTATTTGTTACTGATAAATTATTTGTTCTCTCCGTTTAATCGTCATGAAATGTTTTGGGAAACATGAACTTTTCATGCCCCTTTTTTAATATAGATTAAGAATCCAGCCTTTACACCACAAGGATGCATGTACACAAACACAACCAAAGAACTTTCCATGCTCCTAAATCCTAATACAGGCAACAGCAAAAGAGAGGAAAAACATCACCATTATTTGTCTTTTTCGGGGGACCTGCTGAGCCAAACCCCTACACAATGTTGGAGTTGTTAATACGTTATTACTTGCAATAATAATGTGATGAAAGGTCCATCGTACCCCTTGAAAAGTCAATGGAAATTATATAGTTCTAATTTATGCGGAATTTCAAAGATTTCTTCAGATAATTTTGACAAAATCATGTGAACATCGTGTAAATTTCGGACGTTCCAAAGAAACATGAAAGTATATACTATATAGAAGTCCCCCTTGGTTTCTGATTAAGATACATATTCTACTTTGATTTTCGTTAGCACGTTTTTTAAACTGCTAAACGGTATGTCTCGTGTGAAGAAATTTTATATAGAAGTTACTTAAAATATCAAATAAATCTATTTTTTAAGTTTATAATAATTAATACTCGACTAATCATACGTTAATTGCTTTTATCGTTTTGGCAAAACTTGACTTGAATATAACACTCTAGCGCCAAAAAGGAGAAATGAAATTCTACCAAAAAAGATTACAGGGACTGCTTTGACCCCTGAATCCCCTGATGGACTTGTACGAGTGAATTAACGTTAATTATCTCACTATCCCTATCATTTTCTAATGAAAGGTAGAGCAGTTATGCATTGAGCTGGCCAAAATCTCTTGTAATCTTGGATGACATGGATGAGTGGTTTGTGATTAGCTGTCGCTTAAGACAGAATTAAAGGCTGCCAGAATACTGAGAGATCGATAGCCCAGTCGCTACCGTCTACCGACCACAGAGCATGTTCATCGGAGATTCAGGCACATGTTCTGCGAGATGGCGGCTACAAAGCCTAGGCTAGCATATAAAAAACCGTCGCTAAAACTAATTATCTCCTTAACGATGTCATCTCCTCGTAGAGCACTTGTAGCATGTGGTGTTCTTTTATCCCGTAGATGAGGATGAGGATGAAGATGAAGATGAAGATGAAGATTAAGTTTGTTACGCAAAACGGTACGGTATTAACATATGATTAATTGAGTTTTAATTATTACAAACTTGAAGAAATGGATTTATCTGATATTTTAGAGCAATTTTCATACACACACACACACACACCATATTTTAGCAATTTAAAAAGCATGCCACGAGTATCCAAATTTTTATCCACTTCTTATAGAAGAAATGAATGGACCTAGTGGCGGATCCAGAAAACTCATCCTATAAAATCTATAGAAGAAACTCATCCGCTTCTTATAGAGGAAACGATGCTTATAAAGATGTTTGTGCAAAAGTTATGAGATCAGTTGATTCCACTGCTTAGATGTGGCTATATATGGCAGTGTCAATAATAAATAGTTAGATCGTGGACAAATCTAACTAGATGAGTATTTGCTAAAAATTTTTTATATTTTTAACGCCTATAATTAATACTCTCTCCGTTTTTAAATATTTGACACCGTTGACTTTTTAACATATGTTTGACCGTTCGTCTTATTCAAAAAATTTTGTGAAATATGTAAAATTATATGTATACATGAAAATATATTTAACAATAAATCAAATGATAGAAAAAAAATTAATAATTACTTAATTTTTTTAATAAGACGAATGGTCGTTTAAAAAAGTTAACGGCGCCAAATATTTTGAAACGGAGGGAGTAACATCAAAATTCTACTCTCTACCACCGCTGATACCTCTATCGATATTCGTACATCCACTAGGAACATCTCCAATGCGAAGTGGAGTATATATAGGTGCGTGCTTAAATCAAGTAGTCAAGGAAAGTTTTACACATAAGCACATGTTGAGCATCGATGCTTTAGAAATAGCACCTCTCTCATCAAATGTACAAAAATCGCAGTTAGAATTCTGTAAGTACCCCTACAAGCACCTGCATCAGTACCATATATATGTGCTGATGTGCTACTAGCACACTTGCTATACATCCCCTACATTAGAAAAGCGTTAAAGTTCTAATTTTATATATGGATTACTAGAGCAATGTCCAAATTAAAACATACAAGGATGCAAACATAATTGTTTGTTTTCAACTTATTAGGGGTGTGACTTATTTTCCAAAACAAGTAGTAGCAGACCAATTTTTTCCCTCTCCTTTATGTAACCTGGGCCGATGGTTTCTTGGTCGGCCTGTGATTTTCTCAATGGTTGCACTAGGCCTTATATACGCCGGCCTTTTCTCTAGTATGTGAACGACTAGGCCCTGCTTGGGCTGTTTTTTCTAGTACGTAGCTCTATTAGTTCATTTCTAAATTCAAAGAGGATCAATAAAGCTGGATGTGTTTTGGAAAATAAAAGGTTCATTCTACATCGGTGATGATCGATCATCATTTCAGCATATTTCCAACCTGAATATAAGACGTCCACTGCAGGTCCTACAATTTTCAAAAATGTAGACCACGTTCATAGCAACTACGTACTCATGTAATTAAGCTCATAGAGCTGGTTTGGTTTGAGGCTTAAATTAGGCTTACCAATATTTGGCAATTTCAATAATGTTTAGTGTATATTTGGTTTGAAGCTAAATTTTAGCATGCCTAAGAAAATAGGCCATTTCAATAGTGAACTTAAGCTATTTTGGCTTCAATCCAAACACAAATTTCCCTTACCAAAATTAGTCATGCCAAAACTTGCCAAAATTTAGCATTGACAAAATTTGGTAAGGCCTATTTAGGCCACAAACCAAACCAGCCCATAACTTTTGAAATAATCGAGCAAAATTAAAATTTAAAGTTGCAACTTGTACCCCATCATTTATTTTGAAACGAAAAGTATGGGATACCAAAAAGGGACTTAGCATTTATGTATTTAAGAAAGAAGGACGGTGAGTAACTTGGGTTCAAACTCATGCCGTTGAGCAGCTCCAATATATGTTGCTACATCACATTTTGTAAGCCACTTAATACTAACTAAAGTAAGTTTATTCGATTACAGTATACAAAATAGGATACAACTTAACTATCCACACCAGAGATAAGAATTAAGCAATCAAGGCCCCGTTTAGTACCCTAAATTTTTTTCTAAAAAACATCACACCGAATCTTTGGACACATACATAAAACATTAAATATAGATAAATGAAAAAACTAATTACACAGTTAGGGGGGAAATCACGAGACGAATCTTTTAAGCCTAATTAATTAGTCTATGATTAGCTATAAGTGCTACAGTAACCTATATGTGCTAATGACGGATTAATTAGGCTCAAAAGATTCATCTCGCGGTTTCCAGCGCGAGTTATGAAATTATTTTTTTCATTTGTGTCCGAAAAAACCTTCCAACGTCTGGTCAAATATCTGATGTGACACCTAAAAATTTTCTTTTCAGGAACTAAACAGACCCCCAATAAATTCCAAACGAATACTAGCAGATCGACTTCAGTGGAAGCACGTGCTCCAATTTGGTCAATTAACTAATCATTTGTTCTTGTTGTTTGCTTTGGTTGTTAGCAGGTAGGTGTGCTTCTTCATCGTACTACGTCACATAGGAGACATTATTAGGGTCGATGCAGGTGATCTATCCTTAATCAAAGTTAATTTAGGCCTTCAAACTTCCAATTTTTCTATCACATCAAAATTTTTCTACACATATAAACTTCAAACTTTTCCATCACATCATTCTAATTTCAACCAAACTTCCAATTTTAACGTGAACTAAATATATGCCATGATGCAATTGACTGCTTTAATGCCACCCTCCCTAGCCATAGCCGCCACTACAAATTCCCCACATATATATACAGTACTATGTAACTATATCTCCGCCCCTAGCTTTTCACCGTAAGCGTGTACCAACACCACCTAATTTCGTAGAAAATCTAGCATGTGCTCTAATCTCCTCTTACGAAATTTTAATTCCTTTCTTCATTCTCCACATCCGTATATTAGTATTTTCTTGTGAAGTATCACTACTACATAAAACACCATGAGTGCCGGTTAAGGAAAACCTTCATAGATGTCGATTTTCCCAATCGGCATCAAGAAGACGGCACTGATGACCCAGGTCAAAGGTGCCGGTTCAAGGCGCACACGAGCCAAAAAAAACAATCGGCTCGACACGTCGAGTCGATGCATTGAGCCATCAAGTCGATCCCAAATGATACCCCAAATCTCAAAATGATGCCTCTAATTCATGAACACATAAACTATAATCAATAATCCTTAAAAAAAAACAACAGATCTAGATCAAATCTGAGAAATCAAACATGAATAAACATCAACAATAAGGAATCACAAGAGGGAGGGGAAGAGGTGGATTCGCTGGCCTCCGATGCCATTGCACCTCTAGCCTACGGCCCCACCGTCGGATCCGCCGTTGCCGAGGGGCGTGGGCCACTGCTATGCCTCCTGATCCGGTGTGGGCCACTGCTTGCCACCGGTTGCAGTCGCCGAGAGAGCGAGAGTGAGAAGATAAGGTCATGGAGAGAGAGGGTGAGGCTAAAAATATCTCTCCCTCCTCTGGCTTCTATTAATATAATTTACCGGTTTAAAAAGAAAACAAAATGCTAACATGATGCCTCAATTTCTTAATTGTTCTTTCTTTTATCATGCGTTATTATTTAATTCGTGCTTTGAAAGGGACTTCAAAGACGATAAAAACCAAAACTACATGTCACAGCACCACACTACTCATGTGAAAGGATTTGCAGGATCCTTGAATCAATGTAGGCACATCGATGGTATACTATGATGGCAACGCCAACCACTGGAGGTTTATTGGGTAAAATAAAATTCCATTTTACTCCCCAAATTATTCAGAGCACTTCACCTCATAAACAATTATTATATTCGTTTTACACCTTGAACCATTAACTCCCAAATGGTAATTCTCTTGCTTCTATCTATATAAGTAGTATTTTGCACTAAAATTTGGTGCGAGTGATAGATAATTACTCACTTACCATCAATATTTTCTAGAATTTTTTTATCACTTTTTTATATAGGTTGAGAAAACTAAGACTAATTTAAATAACAAGGGTTAATATTTCAAACAAATAGTCACGGATATTTTTGAAAATATCTTAGAACTTTTAATTATGATGTCTCTAAACAATTTTAGCTCAAAACGACTCATATAAAAAGAAACAAAGAAGAGAAATGCTATTAAGCAGTAAAGTGGGTAGTTTTCAATAGTTTAGAGGATAAAATGAGAAAAGAAGTTTATAGGATGTTAATTACTCTAATGAAATGAAATAGTTCGAGTGAGGGAAATGAACCTTTTTTTTTGCAGAAATAATTTAATTACGAAGCAAACTCTCCTTGTTATACCCTCGCATGATCCTAGCCGCCGGTTTCTCATCCAACGGCTGACAGACCAACCCAATCCATGGGCGCTCGGCGCTCCGCTTCTCGAGCGGTCGGTGGGTGGGGCCCCACGTTTCCTCGCCGCCTCGGGCCCAACCGCCGGCCACCGCACGCTGACGTGTGGGGCCCACGCGGCCACCACCACCACCGGTCGCTGACATGTGGTGCCCGGCGCGCCGCCGCCGTCGTACCAGTCTCTATCGCCGTCTCCTCTCCTCGGCGAGCGGAGCGTGTTGGAACGCGTGCGTGCGTGCGCGTTTCCACCCGATTTAAAGAGACGAGAGAAAAAAAAGAAAAGAAAAGAAAGAAATAAACGGAAATAAAACCGCGGCCTTTTTGGTTGGGAAGGAAAGGGAGGGGTTGGTGCTCTCCTCCTCTTCCTCTTCTTCTCCTTCCTTCCTGCCATTCCTGTGACCCCGAGCCGAGGCGGCGAGAGAGAGAGAGAGAGAGTATTAGTAGTAGTAGGAGAGGGAAGCGAGTCTCCTCTTCCTCCTCCTCCTCATCGCCGTTAGCTGCTGCTTTCGCCGAAGGATTGTTGCTGGGCCGCGTCGTGACCATGGGTATGTTTCTTGTTCTTTCGTTGGCTCTAGGATTTGGATTTTGAGTTCTTGTTCCCCCCGCTCTGGTAGCCCGCCATGGCGGCGGTAGGTATTCGAGGTTTCCTCCACTTCCTTTGTCGGGGCTTCCGCCCTCTCACTCCGTTTCTTTGGAAACATCGAACCGGCCGGGTTGCCGTGGTCGGTTCTTGCAAGAGGAATACCTCCCTTTTTTCAAATAAAGAAACGATTTTTTCTCCCTTTATTTAGGACTATGCGTGGAGTACTCCCGCTATCGGTGTTTGGGTGTTTTGATGTTTGCTGCTGAGATTTCGTCCCTTTTAGTGTTTCGTCTGTGGCGGTGTTTCGGAATGTAAATTCAGTTTTTGGTGCTACCGGAGTAGTTAAGACTGGGATTCTGTGTTAATAATATTTTTGGGTCTCGGCACATTTATGTATGCGCAGCAAAGCGACCGATTTTCCTCGCATTTGTTGATGTTGCGATTTTTTTCATTCCAATCCTGTATGCTCAATTGATTCCCTGAAGCGCACTGTACCGAGTTTGATTGGGAATTTTTTTAATGAGTTATTGTCCATTCTGTTGTGTTAGCAGATGGTGAGACGAGCTGTTCTTCCTGGGACAGCGACGATGAGTACCAGAAGTTCATCCAAAAGATGAACCCTCCAAGGTGACAAACTGACAACCGGTTCCTCCGTACCCTCATCAATCTCAGTACTGCACAATTAATTATCCATTGCCAAATCGTTTGTAGCCGACTGATGTGTGTTTACTGAATCCAGGGTTGTGATTGACAACACATCATGTAAGAATGCAACAGTTGTGCATGTAAGGCACTGACCAAATCGAGGTCTTTTTCTTGGTGCAAATTGTTTCTGTTTGGTTGGTGAAAAAGTGATTTGTTTTTTTGTTTGAATCGTGTAGGTAGACAGTGCCAACAAGTATGGGATACTGTTAGAGGTAGTGCAGGTCCTCACCGAGCTGCAACTCATAGTGAAAAAAGCCTACATATCATCAGATGGTGGATGGTTCATGGATGGTACGATGCGATTCTTGAGATTTTTTTTCTTGAAATCGATTAGTTCAGAATGGTTAATTTATCCTGAGCTGTTGATTTTTTTATGTCAGTGTTCAATGTGACTGATCAAAATGGGCAGAAGATAATGGATGAATCGGTACTGGATGAGATAGTAAAGTATATTCATAAGGTAATTGATGCCATCCTACCTTGATTCTTGGTTCATTCAATGTTCAGCGTGCTCAATCTGCTAACTTTCCATGCAGTGTCTTGGGGCTGATTCTTGCTTTCTTCCTTCGCGGAGGAGATCTGTTGGAGTGGAACCTTCCTCTGACTACACTTTGATAGAGCTAACTGGAACTGATAGGCCCGGTCTGCTCTCAGAAGTGAGCGCTGTGCTCACAAACCTGGAATGCAATGTGGTGAATGCAGAGGTGTGGACTCATAACAAACGAGCAGCAGCGGTCATGCAAGTCATGGATAGGAAAACGGGGCTGGCAATCTCAGACACACAACGGCTTGCTAGAATAAAGGAGCGACTTAGCTATGTGTTCAAAGGGAGCAACAGGAGTCAAGACACCAAGACAACGGTGACAATGGGGATAACCCACACAGAGCGGAGGCTTCACCAGCTGATGCTGGAGGATCGGGATTATGAAAGGTATGATAAGGATAGGACGAACGTCAACCCCACACCGGTGGTTTCGGTTGTTAATTGGCTCGACAAGGATTATTCCGTGGTGAATATTCGGTGCAAGGATCGGCCAAAGCTTCTCTTCGACACAGTTTGCACCCTGACAGATATGCAATATGTGGTTTTCCATGGGAGTGTGGATTCTGAGGGCCCTGAAGCTTACCAGGTACCTCTCTGCTAACAACACAGCCTCTAATTCTGCCAGAATTATACTTAGACATGTAACGTATCGTTTGTTGTCTTTTCATGGTTCAATAGGAGTATTACATTAGGCATATTGATGGCTCACCTGTCAACTCTGAGGCGGAGCGACAGCGAGTCATCCAGTGTCTTGAAGCTGCTATAGAAAGGAGAGTATCCGAGGTAACTGGACAAAAATACCTGCTCCTTTGTGATTCCATTTATTTTGTTCTCATTGTATATGTTACTTTCTTAAGGGCGTTGATGTTACCTAAACATTTAGTCTGCATAGTATAGTGCGGAAAGGGACAACATTGGTGTCATGCAGCCTGTAGGAGGTAAATTGTGGTTGGAGAGCTGGCATCTTGTATTGTCTGCCACACTTTACTGATGAGTCGCTGTCAATGTTTTGAGTCCTTTTCCTTCTTGGTGAAGCACATGCTGTTTTCTCCAATGCTTGAGAGTGCTATTCATACAACTAATCCATTCGTGGAAAACACAATTTGCTTGCTACTATTCTGCACTCCATTTTTTGTTTATGTATTTACTCTGACTTAATTTTCCAATAATCGCATATATTACCTGCAGGGGCTGAAGCTAGAGTTGTCGACAGGTGATAGAGTGGGACTGCTATCCGATGTCACACGCATCTTCCGTGAGAATGGCTTGACGGTTACGAGAGCTGAAGTTTCTACTAGGGGTGACAAGGCTGTCAACACTTTCTATGTCCGCGATGCAGCAGGGAGCTCCGCCGTCGATCTGAAGACTCTTGAAGCTATACGCCAAGAGATAGGCCAGACAGTGCTTCAAGTAAAAGGGCACCCTGATCACCGCAAATCACCTCCGCAAGAGTCGCCATCTAGGTTTCTCTTCAGCAGTCTGTTCAGACCAAGATCGCTGTACAGCCTAGGGCTGATCAGGTCCTGAGTTCTTGGGTGCCTGCTCAATCCGCGGATCGACAAATCATAGCATGCCATGTCAACAAATACATCGCGGTGTATACTCTCCGCAGTCTCAGTCCCAGGACAAGGCTGATGATGCATTTGACTCAGGTGGCGTACCATCATTCATCAGATGAAAACCATGAAGCATGAGCATCCCCCAAGCATGGGAGCAACAGTTGCGTGAATACAGTTGGTTCTGTGAAAGCGCCCCACCCACCGCTGTACATAAATCCCAATCTTCTAGCATAGAACTGTAAATACCAATATCCCCAGCGGCGTCAGTCGTCGACAACATTTACAAAGAACCAGCCATGATTTCGCCGATGTCAAGCTCACTTCTTGCTCAACCAGAATGGTCTGAAAACATCAGTGTCTGCTGACCTGCATGTAAGCCGACGATGACGTCAGCGATGACTCATGAGGACCTGGAGTAGGATTACCCAACAATGCTGTCATCAGATGAAGAGAGAGAGGGTGTAGACGACAATGGCACCATTGTCGTCGTCGTCGACGGTGACATGGCGGCTGCCAGTGTTCACCATTCTGCGTGCTGGGTAGGCGCACATGCCGAAAATGGGCGCCAGCTCGGCCGGGGGCCGGGCTGCCTGGGCGCAAGTTGGTGTGGAAATGGAGATACACTTGGAGAGTTGGGGATGCGTGTGGAGGATGCACTGCCTTTGTTTCAAGCTGTTTGTCTTGCTAGGCAGGCAGAGGCAATTCCGAGAAACATTTGGGAAAAACTTTTGGTCTCACCTGTGTTTCCTGCACTGTCATGTCCGGGCCCTGCTGCTGTTGCTCCATTTCCACATGTCTGCGTCCCGGCAAATATCTCTACTACTACTAGTGAACACTTTGATGGCTTTCTTTTTTTTTCTTTCTTTCTTTCTCTGTTCAATCCTGTTTCACTCGTGCGTCCACCAGATTCACCTGTTCATCGGTGCTTCCAGTTTATTGGCAAAACTCTGCCTTTCTTTTGGGGCTTGTTGGTAAGTGCTGTTTGTGCACTGTGGTTGAGACAAATTGTTCCTTGCATTGACGAACACCTTTTTCGTTCATATGCTCAATAAGTTACTGCTTTTATTTTTGTTAAATTAATCACATGTCCGTGCGTTGTAACAAGATATATGGAAACACTGGCTGATTACACGTGGTTAATTTTTATTTTACCTCAGTATATTTTCTAAGTTGGTCAATGTTTATGCGAGTACCACCGTTTTTCTTTTGACGGTTTCCAGGATAAATACTCCTACTTCTCTTTAAATCTTGATTCATCTCTTCTTTCTTCTTTCTTTTCTTATTATTCCAAGTCCTCCTCTAGTGCTTTCTTGCATTACTCCTCCATTCTTTGCTACAACCCCCTAGCCAATCAAGAACATAAAAGTATCTATCGGATTAATTTAGGAAGTTACATGTTTATCCAAATTGAAACGTCCAATAACTAGTTAAAGTAAAAAAAAAAGCAACTTCTCTATTACAGACTGTTAGACCGATAGAAAAGGGAAAAAAAGATAGAGACTTAACATGAGTTCGTGTTGAATATATATTTATACCCGTGCCTAGTACGATCAGATTATTAACAGAAAATAGGCAAGTTGGCTTCGTTAAGGTATTATTAACAGCTGCAGATTGCAGTGATTAAGGCTAAAAGATACACATTCACAGTCAGTGTGTCTCCCTTGTGGTTTTGCAGTACTTTGAGCTTATTTTCCATCCTCTCACATGCATGTCAGCGCCCTTTTTATTTTTAAGAAAATAAAAAAAATAGCTGGGTGAAAGTACATCTCAACTAACGAATTGCCATCACTGCCAATCATCACCCGAAGTTGCAGTGTGTGAGCTGTGACGATCTGCAGTGAAGTTGCAGCAACTTTTCAGTGTGGCCTCAGATCTTGCTTCTTCTTGGGCACACAAAACTTCCTCTAAAATCAAAAGGTGTTTTTGATTATTATTCTGTGATGAACAATTAGGCATTAGAGATTATTGGTTTTGTTATTTGGAATTTATTCACGTAGTGGTTTTGGAGATGATTGGATTTACAGGTGAATCGCAGGTTCTATCATTTTATGTGACCGGTCAGACCGGGCTCTGGTAGCCGGTCAGACCGGCGGTGATCGAGCGGTCAGACCGGCCAGCCCGCGGTCTGACCGGCTGACACTGTGTCGGTTTCGGTTTCGGGTTGTTTGTTTGGATATCCGAGTTTATTTCATGATTATGGCTTCTAGATGGATATTATACGTATGTAATACTATTGTTTGCTGCTAATGAGTCAAGTTGGAGATAGCTTGGTCTCAGAATATGGTTTCTTTGTTTATTTCATGTGTAGGTGACTCGATGCCCCAGGAGAGTATTTGTGGTGATGGACCGGGAGTCGGCTTGGGGATAAGACGACGTCCGTGGTGGTCAGAGATCATGCGGGATACTTAGGCTAGAGTTGATGCACGTGGTTGATGGAGATTCCATATGGCATACGATGGAGGTATTGTGTGTGTATGGGATGCGGAGTCGAATTTGGAAGGAGTCCAAATTTGGTACGATTGGTTATGTGAAGTTTCTTTCTTGTACTAGAGGGTTTCCTAAGGTGTTTAGGACTCTTAGTATGGGTTCTGTTCGTGGCTTTAGGCTGCCTACCTCATGTATAAATAGAGGGGGAGCGTGAGGCTTCCCGGTATCGTTTTAGAGAGCAATTGAGTTGAGTTTTGAGTTAGGGTTTCGAGTTTAGTCGAAATTTTTGTAAGGAGTGCTGTTGGTGCACTTCGTAAACACAGAGAGAATCAATAAAGTCGTCATCCACTTTAAGAGTTCTTCGATTTGTGATTCATCGGGTTTCGACGGTCTAACCGGCGATCTACCGGCAGTCAGACCGGCGGTAAGCGGCGGTCAGACCAAAGGGAGCACGGCAGTCAGACCTGTGGTAGCGACAGCGAGCGGCAGCTGATCTCAGCGGTCAGACCGGAGATCTAATCTCGGTCAGACCGACGGCAACCAGGCGGTCAGACCGGCAGGACAACTTCGGTCAGACCGCGATCCGTCGAATTCGAGGTTAACTTTTAATTCCGTTAAAAGTTTTCGGTTTTTGGATATACTAACCATTCACCCCCCTCTGGTTGGCTTAGTTCTTATGATTCGATCCTACACTTCCATCCATCCTCTGAGCGGCGCCAGCATTATGAGCTGGAACAGATCTCGCCAGTTCTCTGCATCTGTACAAAGATTGCTAAAATTGATGGATGGTCAGGGTTTTTGCAAGATCAGGAGTGTTATTTCCCTATGGTTAATGTGTGCTCAATTTTTCAACTTATTATGTTATTTAGCTTATTGGTTTGGGTTAACTGGCCGTGCATATTGAAAGATTAACCAAAATGCTACACTACAACACATGGTATATTGTCATGGAACTGAAAATTAATCTGGTTTTTTCATAGGATGGTTGGAGGATTCGAACCAAAAAGTGGGTACAATACATGTCTGAATTCTGATCTTGAGCTTGAGGGACAGAAGGATAATCAATCACTGATGAAACCAAGTGGAATCCAACAGAGACAAGTTGGGGCCTATCAGGGGGCAACAATGTGTTGTGCCTCTGCATAAGCATATGTTGGTGTCCAAGGGGAATACAACTAAGCAACCTCTGCGTAAGCATTTCCTCTGAGCCTTTATTATGCCTTAGTAGTTAGTACTACTCTCTTGGTGGTCACTGGTCATGTGTTGCTGTCTCACAATGCAGGGCTATGCCGTATTATATCGGGCATGTTTATGAAGCGTGTTTGGGACACCAAGATTTTCGGAAAGAAACAGTGAAGTTCATGAAAGTAAAGGGAATTCATGTGTTCCGGACTTCATGTTTTATCCATCCAGGTTACTAGGTTAGTAGTTACTACAGAAAAATGTAAGAGAAATATGGGTAGATTGTAGATACAAGTTGTCGTTAAAATAGCACGCGGTGCAGATGTGGTTTGAATCAAAACAATCTGATGGCGCTTCCATCAAACTGAATTTAGAATTGGGTCTCCTAAAGTTGTGGATTGAACGATTCTTGAATACCCAAATCTTGCTTGCAGCTGAGCTTACAATGTATTTTGTACTACTATTTTTATACCCAATTCTGTGCACGATTGGAAGCATTTTTCAGTGGTGACAACAATGTGGCTGCCCTTTTCTCAAAAAAAGCATGTTCCACTCTATTGGTTGCTATTTGGTTGGGGCTAAAAATGTATGCAAACTCATTCTTCTGGAGAGCAACTGAGCAAGTAGTGGTGCTGATAATTGATCATCCACTTGGATAGGCATTTCCCAGTCGGTTGCCTTTGTGTAACTTTAGACCCTTCCATTAGTTGCCATCGGTAGAGGTAAACTAAAGTTACAAAAGTCGTAACCATTTCTTTCATTTGATTATAAGTGAGCTAAGTGACCTGCATGGTAACAAAAGTATTCCCTAAAAGTTATTATACAAGATTCTACGAATGATTATGTTTGCACACACAACTTAACACTACAACACAGCCATGTTTAAAGGTTCTATTTTTTTTTTGTCCTTAGAGCATCTCCAACAGTCTCCCCATCTCACTCTCCAAGCCAAATTTTAGCCATTCTAGCCAAAAAAACGTACTCCAACAGTCTCTCCAGCCGGATGGCTAACACAGTCATGTTTAAAGGTTCTATTTTTTTGGTCGTAGAGCATCTCCAACAGTCTCCCCATCTCACTCTCCAAGCCAAATTTTAGCCATTCTAGCAAAAAAAAAAAAAGGTACTCCAACAGCCTCTCCAACCGGATGGCTAAGCCATCCGGCTGGCCAAAACCCCCCCTCCACTAGCCAAATTTGGCCAGCCACAAATCACTGGCCAATCGTGGGCCCCACACAGATTCCCCACCACCTCCCTCCCCCATCTCCTTCGTCTCTCTAGCCAGGACTCGATGCCGCCGCCGCCGTGCACAACCATGATCTCAACGCCATCGCCGACGCAGCCACGACCTCCTCGATGCGGCGCAGAAGGGCGGGCCGGCGGCGGAGAGAACGACGGCATGCGTCTTGAACCCACGCCGGAGCACCACCATCGTCGTTGAAGTCACCAGCCGTTGCCTCCGCACGATGTGGGTTCGGGGCGGCGCGGCGTGGATTCGGGAGGAGGGGGCAACCTCCGTCGCGCGGCCTCCGCCGCCTCCACCTACACCTCCCCGACGCTGCGGGTGCGGCTCAGGAGGGCGGCAAGGAGGCGGGCTTGGCCCTGCACGCCATCGCCGTCGTTGAAGCTGGAGGTGGCAGCGGCGTCTCGGCTTCGTCATGGTGGTGGTGGCGGCGGGTCCCGGATGTGCAGGAGCGGGATGGCCCTCGCCTTCGGCAGCGGCAGCGGTAGTGGGCTGGACGGCGCCGGCGGCGTCTCGCTTCGTCGTGGTGGTGGCGGCGGTGCCCCCCGGCCTGCGTCGGCCCTAAGAAGGGGAGAAAAAGGAGAGAGGGACTGACGCGTGGGTCCCATGGCTAGAATGGAGAGGATAAATGGAGAGACTGTTGGAGTGAAAGACAAATTTGACTCTCTAATTTTTTAGATGGCTGGCCAAATGAGTATTTGGAGAGCTCAAAATAGCTAATCTGTTGAAGATGCTCTTAAGGAGTTACTACGATATATACCATACTGGTTACTATCAATCTTTGATTACCTTTACGGTGACACTACCAGTATTATCACTAGTGCAAACAATTAGAAAAAATATTTTATAAATTCTATTTCCAATAGAAACAATTATATCCCCTTAATCTTTACTACCAATAATTGAGACGATATGAATAAAATATGCATGAATCAATGGATAAGAAAGAAACGTCGTACTATTTGATGTTGTCGTTTCAAAAATTGGATAAGAAAAGATATAAAAGTCTAGATTAATTCTGCTAATCACCATAAAAATCGTCTTAATTGCTTAATGCCAGGTACAATGTTCAATAAAATGCTTATGTTTTTCCCCCTAATATGATGAAATTATTTGATGCAAAATCACAGTCCAAACGCACTTCTAGAAACATTTAGATTAAACTATCTACTTTCCTTCCAAACTTCCATCATTTCAAGAAAGCCCTAAGAATGAGTTCGAATAGATCATTAACACTACTGGCCCTATTTTACTACCTCCGTCCCAAAATAATTGTATTTCTAGGATTTAAAATTCATCCCA